TGGTCAACTGATGAAACCCTGCAACATGCTTTAATGAGTGACTGGTAAGATCATACATTCCAGAGGTGCCTGTTCAGTAGCAGGACTCTGGTGTTACCAGAAGGGCTAATGGCAAATAGCACTCTATGTTTCTGACATTGTCAGGAACTTAATGATCACAATTTACAATTGCTTTTTTCCCAACTTGATCATTATCAGCTGTGTAGTGCACAGTGTTTAATATATGTACTGGACAAACATAGCAAGACGTATGTCTTTGGGATGCTTCCTGTCAGTTGATGCTTTTTTATCAGAAGTTGTTCATGGTTTGCAACCAGGTAAAAACTATGCTTGGAAGAACATCTGCAGCCCTCAAGTACAAATCTACACAGCTACAGAAACTCAATTAAGTATTTGAAACATTTATGTTAGGTTTTTATCTACGTGTCAGAATAAATTAAGAAATCAATTATTAAATTAATACAGAATTGAGTTTAAAATATTTTAACACCTGAAAAACCTTCCTTTCTCCATAGGTCTGTGAGTTTTACGTCTCTGTATAACCTGCTGAAGACAAAGCTTTGTCCCTATTTCTACGTTTGCTCCTATCAGTTTACTGTCCTCTACCGGGCAGCAGGCTTGGCGGGCAGCAGTGTGATCACCGCGCTCATATCCCCTACAACGAGAGGCTTAAGAGAAGCTATGAAAAGCGAAGGTGATAGTGGAGGGTTAATAGTGAAGAGTCCTCTTGTCTTAATGCTAAACTTGAGGGGCTGGGGAGACGGCTTAGTGTTTAAAGAGCATGCACTGCTCTTACAGAGGACCTGGGTTTGACTCCAGCACCCACATGATGGCTAAAAGCCATCTAACTACAGCTCCAGGGGATTGAATGTGCCCTCTGTAAGCACCAGACACAGAAGTGGGACCCAGACATAAACATCCATATGAATAAAAAAAATGAATCATCTTTTACTAATTGGTCATTAATATTATTTTATGAGAAGTAGGGTTTTTTTTTCTTCCTGCTGGTAAAGATGTCTCTTAAGTGTATCTGGAAGTTAATTATGTTCCCTTTTGAACTCTAAGTTAAAGCCCATATTAGGTCCTATAAGCCACTGTCTTAAAACATGTCTTTACATTTATTTATTTTGTATGCATGTATGTGTTTCTGTGGGCACACACATACCGTGGCACACATGTAGAGGTTAAAAGATAGCTTCAAAGAGTCCTTCGTTCCCTTATGTGAGTTCTAGGAAGGGAACTCAGGTGTCATAAAATATGGCAGAATCTGCCCACGAAACCTTCTTACCAGCCCTAGATTCTTTGATACCACAGATCACCGAACCTCTCCTTTAATAATTCTAAAACTGTGATCATTTAGTGGATCAAGAAAGGGAGGAAAGGATAGAGACAAGACCCTTTTCATAGAAAACCTCGTCTGTGTACCCTAATTGTAGGACACTCGTAATTAATTGAAGAAAATTGGATTATATTTTCTGATGTAGGAATTGAGTTTTCTCTGCCTTTACTAGAAGAAAGTGGCCATAAGAAGAAAGTTCGAGAACCAAGCCTGGAATATGAGGAGTACGTAATTACAAAACCTTTTGCATATTCACTTTTATGAATTCTCTAATTCAAACTCCGGGCAGTACATTTGTAACAGCATCAACTCTGTCAATATGTGCTTCTAACTGTGGCAGTTTTCTAGGGAGCAGGCAGGCAGTGATGAAGATGAAGAGGAAAGTTTTTCCTGGCTGGAAGAGATAGGTGTGCAAGATCAAATTAAGAAGCCAGACGTCATCTCTGTCAAGTTGTATCCTTTCTGTTAGAACTTGAACTGAGTGAGTGAGTCTAACACTGGTTTAAGACAGTCCTTGTTGCTCAAGTAGGAAGTCTTTGTTGGTTTCTATCACATTTAGCATTTCATTCAAACTGTGAATGAGACTGGGAGCCCCGGGTAACTGAAGCCCAGGCATCTGGCTGCACTCCTGTTGGATCCTTTTGTTCTTTCCTTGATTGTTGTCTTCAGACGGAAAGAAAAACATGAAGTACAAATGGATCACCGACCTGAGTCTGTTGTACTGGTGAAAGGACTCAATACCTTCAAACTGCTCAATTTTTTAATCAACTGCAAGAGCTTAGTTGCTACCTCAGGTGCACAGGCAGGTCTCCCACCCACTCTCTTATCCCCAGTAGCCTTCCGTGGTGCCTCAATGCAAATGCTTAAGGTAAGTGTTCACTTCCTCTATATACAGTTTAGCTCTTTGTGTTGTTTTGGGCTTGTTTTTAAACACAGGGTCTATGTAATTCTGTCCTAGATGTACATTGCTCTGGTCTCAAGCTCACAGAGGTCCACCTGCTTCTGCCTCCTGAGTGCTGGGATTAAAGGCATATGCCACCATGCCTAGCTCAAATTCTCAACTTTTAAAAAATAATTCTAGAGACTCAGGAGATGTATCAGTATTTAAGAGCACTTGCTGCTCTTGGAGAAGATCCAAATTCAGTTCCCAGCACCAACATAGTGACTCGCAGCCATTGGTAACTTCAGTTCCAAGGTTCTGATGCCTTCTTAGCCCTGCAGGTAGCAGGCGCAACTGGGTGTATACGTGCATTTGAGAAAATACCAGGGCAGACATTGTGGCCATACCTTTAATCCCAGCACACAGGAGGCAGAGGCAAGCAGATCTTAGTGAGTTAAGGAACAGCAAGGCCTACATAGTGAGACCCTATCTCAAAAAAATGTATGTATATGTGTGTGTTCCTGTGAGGTGTGTGTGTACATATAGTGATAGTGTATATGCAAATTTTCATAGTTTTAAACTGTTCTTGCATACTTTGGGCTTTGTCAGCACTGAGATGGCACAGGCAGGGGTATGAGGCCTACTAGGCAAGCAGCTTGACCCGAGTTACATTCCTAGTAGTTTTGTTTTTGCTTTCTCCATTAAAAATAAAAACGACTTGAGAACTAGGTGACATGAATTATGTCAAATTCCTTTTACTTGTTTCCTGTGTCACATGACTTTACTTCTTTAAATTTTCTGAAGGCACGAAGCATTAATGTAAAGACACAAGCTCTTTCTGGATACAGAGATAAGTTTAGTTTGGAGATCACAGGTCCTGTCATGCCTCACACTTTGCATTCTGTGACCATGCTACTCCGATCTTCACAGAGAGGGTCATTCTCTGCTGGATTGTATGCACATGAGCCAACTGCTGTATTCAATGTTGGCCTGTCACTGGATAAAGAACTGGATAGAGTAAGTAGTCATACCCTGTATCCTCTTGCTGGGGTAAATGTCACTTCTTATGCCAAATTTGTATCAAGTTAGAAAACAAGTTAATATATACCACATGCTCATAAGATAAATTTTATGAATTCAGGCAATATTAAATATTTCCCAAACCTAAATAGTACTTACTGCACTCACAGCTGAAATTGAGTAATTCTTGCTTCCTTTGAGGTTTATGGTAACACAATTTATCACTGTTTCTCATATATGTGTATGACACTTGGGGTTTCGCATGTATTTAAGCACACCAGTGAGGAAGTGTACTGGCTCACACTCTACTGCTCTTCCACCTCATTCTCAACGCAGTCTTTTCATCAAAACCAGAATGTCCTAACAGAGCTACTCTTGCTAGCTGGTTTATGTGCCCCCTTCAGAGATGTAATTACAAGTGCAAACCTTGTCTACCCAGCATTCGTGTGGGTTCTTGATACCCCCCAACTCTGTGGTGATCACAATTGTGCAGCAAGTACTTCAACACTAATCCATCTTCAAACCTTACTATCTTTTTTAGACTTTTTAAAAGATAGTTGTTAACAGTTCTTTAATTGGCCTGGTACCTATCAAGTCTAATAGACTGGCTAATTTAGGATTTTCACACTACAGAAATTATTAGGATCATCTAGACGTGAGTGACTGAGCCATTTATTCGCAAGTCTTTATGAGCATTATTAAAAACTTGGTGTTCTGAACAGAAGAGATGGGTCAGTAGTTAAGAGCACCGACTATTCTTCCAGAGGTTCTAAGTTCAGTTCCCAGCGACTACAGGGTGGTTCACAACCATCTGTAATGGGATCTGATGCCCTCTTCTGGTGTGTCTGAAGACAGCTCTGGTGTATTCATATAAATCTTTTAAAAACTAACTAAAATTTGTTCAAGAACTAATGTGCTTTATGGATGTGGACTTGTGTTTCTGCAGAAAGTTGTTCATAAGGACCTTGCTAACTGTGGGCTGCACCCTAAAACCCTGGAGCAGCTCAGTCAAATGCCAGTCCTGGGGAAGTCATCCTTACGAAATGTGGAAATGAGTGACTACGTTTTAAATTGGAGATCCTGACCACCAAAGTAAGCCTAAAAGGAATCTGAGGAAAAAGCTTCCTAGCGAGGAAATTCAAGATTCATAGGCCTCTGGCTTTTAAAGTTCATTTGGAAGAATATATTTTAAAATACTAAAGTGTTCCTAAACATTTTTATATTAACTTATTATATGCAATAGCATTAGGTTTTCAATCAGTATTTTGCCTTTATTATTTTCATGCGTTTTCAGAGATGAAGATGCAAGGTGCTTCCTTTAAAAAACCTCAGATAATTCAAATAAGGATTCTATCCCTGTAACTTATTGTAACCTGAGTAGAAAACTCAAGTCTTTTATTCATGAGAAATTGACATTATCTGTAGCAATTATTCCACTGAGACTAATGGTCAGAACAAAAGCATCTATATTGAGTTCTTTGAAGACATAGGGAAACCAGCATTTTTACTAATGATTTCTAGTCCCTCTGTTTATAAGTATGTTCAGTCACATGTGTCAAGTCAGATGGTAGGGTATTTTGTACTTCATCTAATAAGTGTTGGGTGCTCAGTCATGTCAACTTACTATTTAGTATGTTTACAGGTAATCTGTGTTTGCATGTGTGTATAAAATTCAGTATTTTTAAATAAACGTGCATAGAAATCACAAGAATTGGGTAAGAAAATAGTGCTTAGTTATATGTGTTCCATGAAGCCAGAGAATAAGACACCACATTTATTCCAGAGAAGTTTGTATTTGGGCCTTAAGCTTTTGAAAATAAAGTTTAGAGACATAGCATATGAATACCACTGTAATACACATGAATATTCTATCAGACCCTAAAAAATTAACATAAACTTAAACTTTCTCAGTCAACAAAATAGCGGCTGGTTGCCAATTTTTATTAGATAAGTTGGTTACAGCATTTTTATTATTTATGTCTATCTAGGTGTAGCTGAAATTCAAAATGCACATCAAAGTAAAACTATATCACAACTCAAGCCATACTAAATATGTACTTGGCCTCTGAAGTAAAATTCTAGCTGGACTTCCGTTTTGACTTCCTTCTTATGACCCAAGTGGCTTTAATGAGAATGCAGGACTTAGTACTGATCATGACACAACGTATCACTGTCTTTTCATAATCTCTACAAAAAGGGGGAGATGGTGGCATTAGCCCTGTGGAACAGATCTTGCTTCATTACCTTAATATAACACTGGCCCAGTATCTGTCCAGCAGAACCCATTGTGAAATAGTACAAGGTGCACAGCCCTTCACTGATTACAGGCAAGTGTTACAGCAGCCTAGCCGTAAGGAAGGGAAGTTACATCATAGTACAAAATACAGTATAAAAGCGTTATTTAACATTCCACACTGAATATTACTGATGCCCTCAAACAATTGTTTTGATGTTAGCCACTTAAACAAATACATCACTAAGGTAAACAATATAAACATACCAAAACCCTGTATGGTTAAATACAATTTCCATGGTACAAAAACCAAAGCCTGGAGATGTTTGTACAGATTGCTTTTTACACAATGTCTTAAATTGTGAAATATTTACAACATTAGGGAGGAAATACATTGTGATGCAGAGTAAAGTTATCTGAAATGATTAATATAAAACCTCAATCTATCTACGTGAGGCACTCCTGAAGCAAGTGGCATTAGCCATGAGGTCCTTTGGTACAAGGCCCATTGCTTGAAGAACCACAGTAGCTGCTGTGGCTTTAGCATGCTTCTTATTAGGGCTGGCAAAGCTGGGCTGGTAAGCGCTTCCATTTATCAATACCTATTCAAGAAAAACATACAATTGGGCTGGTAAGGGCTTCCATTTCTCAATACCTATTCAAGAAAAACATACAATAAGAACAGCATCAAACTTTAATATCTATTAGCTTTGTACTTTTTCACTAAATTCTAAAAATAACTTATAAATTACAAACCCCATATTACAGAATATATTAATCTCAGCCCAGAAGCAGCAAATGATTTAAAAAAGGAAACTGCAAAATAAATGCAAGTCTCCATGCTTTTTGCCCATGCCCCTCCCCTTTAATTTTGTACCCTTTTTATAAAAACCCATGTTACCCACATATTCACATCTGTGACCCACCCACAGAATATTAACACTGGTTGTATCACACTCATCCCTTAACCCTCTAACATGAATATGTAATTAGTATGTAAGTTTATATTTACCCTAAAGAGGAAATGTTTACGATGGTCAGGGCCACTGTCATGGACCAAGAGAAATTCAGGTGGTTGCCACCTTCTCTTATTACAGATTTCCATCAAGGCAGACACTGGATGTTTGCCTGTAGAGAGAAAAACAACTAGTTATAAAAGATTTCCACCAACTCTGCAAGGAATTCCGAATTGAAGGTATGGGTAAAAGCAAGAACAGTTAGTTTAACAGGGTTGTTCTCACCTGACAAGTCTTTCATTGCAGCAGAGAAGTTCCCAGACCGCTTTTGTGCTCTCTCTCCTACTGCAACAAGACCTTAAAAGGAGAAGGAAAAAAAGGCTAAAATTTAGTATTCTACCTAAAAATGTAAGATACCCCTCACTACTGAAACCTAAAAACCTATACCTTCAACTAAAATACTCAGGTTTATATTAAAACTCTTTTTTGCCACTTCAACATACATATGTTTCCTTTATAATCATATACTTATGAAGAGATACTAAAGGGCTAGGGAAATAGCTCAGTCAACAAAGCACTTTCATAGGATCTGAGGCTGAGTTCAGAAAAGCCAGCTGTATTGGCACAGACTAGTAACTCCAGCACTTGGGAGACAGGTAGGTGGGTCCCTGGGGCACACTGGTCAGCCAACTTTTGGTAGGTGCCAGGCCAGTAGGACCCTGTTTCAAAAATGAAGGTGGATGATGCCTGAGGAATAACACGACATAAGCGCACAGAAGTGTGAGTGTTCAGAGAAGTGTCAGGTAACCGTCAACATCTCACAGTTGGTTTTCTTTTTTAAAAGTCTAAGAGGTGGTGACTATTAACTACATGTAACTTTACTTGTAAGTTGTGTTGGTTCTAGAGGTTGTAAGGTTCCAGAGAACCTTGATTAGATTCCATGCAACCACATGGCAGCTCACAACCTTAGGGAATACAATTCCCTCTCCTGGGCTCTGTGTGCACACACAGACAAAACGCCCGCATATACAAACCATTTTTAAAAATAGACAATGGATCAGGAGGATAGTTTAATGAGTAAATTTATCATCTTTTAAAGTAAGGAGTAAAGCATATGGTCCCTCAAAACAAAAAGGAAGATAGACGAGACCCTCTATTACAGTTAGTACCTGCTGTCCTAACAAATTCCTGAGTTCTCAGATAACCTCTTCCCACTTTCCACATGTCTTTAAACAGCAACCAGTCAGCCAATCCATTGTTATGAACACGCTAGAATATGTGTCTCTCAAACTTATTCTAGGATACAGCCGCTGTCTGAGAATCCATACCTACATTATGTTGAGGAATTTCAATGTGGATGTGCCCTACAATTATAACACACTGACTGGATTCATGGCAAGTTTTTAAAAATCAAGCCTAAACTGTATAGTAACACATGCCTATAATCCAAACTTTTGAGAAGGTTAAGGCAGGATAATTGGAAGTTCAAGGCCAACCTGGGCTAAGGATAGATACTTATTTCTCTTTGTAGCCATGGGTGTAGTGGAACTTTCAATGTAGAACAAGTTCTCAAACATAAGAGATCTCCCTGCCTCTGCTGGGACCAAAGACATATACTACCACTCTCAGCCTCTATTTTAAATAACTAAGGGCTTAAACAAGTGAAATCAGCTAACAGCCTATTGTGATTCCTCTTTGAATGTTACTAGCTGCCTATGGTAACACCTTAGAAATAAAAACAAGCAAATAAAGCAACAGTGATGATGCAGGCCTGAGACATGGCAGGAAAACTGCAAGGCCTTGTCTCAGAAGACAGTGAAACAAGCTGGAAAGATGGCTCAACTGTTAACAAGCAGTGGCTGTTCTTCCAGAGAACCTTGATTAGATTCCATGCAACCACATGGCAGCTCACAACCATAGGGGATACAATGCCCTCTTCTGGGCTCTATGGGCACACACAGACAAAACACACACATGTACAAACCATTTTTAAAAATAGACAATGGATCAGGAGGATGGTTTAATGAGTAAAGGTGCTTGTCATGTCATTCATGCACCCACATACAATAAATAAATGTAGCAAGGAAAAAACAGCAAACATATAGAGTCTCCATTAAGAACAAATAAAGGAAGGTTCATTTTCTTAAAGTCATATGAAGATTTTCATAATAGTGACTAACACAAAGCAAAGTTGTCTTTTAAAAGCTCATACTAGTATGTTATCCATCTGTAGAAATAAGCTGATATGTATGAAAAATGTGTTAAAAGGTTTCACCAGCAAAGAGCTGTTCATTATTTGTGTATCCAGTTCATGGTCACAAAGACCAAAATAAGGTTTTTTTAAAAAAAAAAAAAAAAAGTAACAAGACTGCAAAGTGTATCACTAACAAGTAGGAAGGACTTACCTTTTCGGTCTGTCTTAAAATCAACAAGGATGGGTTCCTTATTTCCTTCTTTGTTCTTTCCTAATCCTTCTCCTTCTCTCCAGCCCATTTTTCTCATCAAAACAGCTCCCATTCCTCCAGTTACTGGGGCTGCTCTTAAGAACTGATCCTATCCAAAAAAAGAAAAAGGTAAAATGCCCCCATTTTATAGTTAGAACTGAAATACAGAGTTAATGGTAACTTAAGAAAAAGAAATCTTACTTCTAGATCTGTAATAGCATTCAACTTAAGTTCTTCTATACTCAATATGTTCTGTGGCATACGTTCTAATTATAATTACCAACACTTTGAAAGTCAAATGGCAAGTGTAACAGTAGCCCCTCGGTGCCCCCCTCCAATAACAACAACAACAACAAGAGCTCTCCTGTTTCGTCCACTATTTAGGTCACTGGTATCTCTTCTTAGCTTGCAAAATAAAAAGAAGGCAATGTTAAAACAGTCAATATATTATCTCAGGTATACCTAATTTATGAGTAAAGCCTAGACATTGTTTTAAAATAGTTTGGACACTGAAGGAAGCATACAGTTGTCATCCAGTTTTCTTCCCCATTCTATTATAAGGCAAGTATCAATATTTTTACTTAGAAAAATCCCTATGAAACAAAATAAATTTACATGTAAATAAGTTGAAGATAAGCACATAAAATACCCTGTAAGTATACCAAGTTTGAATTCTTCTACAACCTGACTTGATGTTAAAAGGGTTTTAAGAAACTCCTTAAATGTTTACATACCTAGGCCTCGGTAGCAGCAGTGTTGTGAATAGTACGGCTGGCACTGACCGGGGCAAGAAGACAGCTACAAGGATTTGGCCCTGAAACAAGTTTCCATACAGAGGGGTGAAAGTTCACAGGTTATTCTGTGAACAATCATCTCTCTTGTTTCCAACCCACTGAACCATAATTTCCATCAAAGCAGCAAACCACTTAATGTCCTAAGCTGCACAACTGTGTGCACTAGCATGGTCAGCAGTCAGTCATCTCCAGTTAAGGAATGTCCAGTGCCTCTTTTTAAAAAAGTATCAATGTACAATCTACCAGTGATGAATTCTGCTGTTGACCTATGTGTGTTTGGTTTTGTTTCTTTCTAATTGAAACATCTCTGAACCATGTTTTCTTTCCAATCATTACAGCATTTTAAGTTAATGCTCTCTGCCGAATATATATCCAGTCATTACAACATCAGAGTCAAACGTTTTGGTAGCTAAGCACAACTATGCACTATTTTTCCTCCTATCAGTAAGTTAATACTAAACAATTACGTTTTTACAGTATAGTAAAATACATACACTGTTTCCCAGCTTTATAATTTAACGTTGGGGAGAAAGCATGCCAATGATATGTGACTAGACATTAAGTTCAACAAGGTGCTCTGATGGAAGGAGGCAGCTGTAGAGGTAAAAACACACCCCTGGTTCAGTTCCTTATTTGGTGCAGGCCATGCATTGTGGATGTATAAAGAGAAAAGTTAGCCGATACTTGGATATCAACTGCCTTGATGCTACACACCTAGAATGACTTTACTTACTTCCAGGTTCATCTCCCCCTCTTTTCCAGGAAACACTCCTAAAAAAAAGGGCAACTGTACAGACAGAGTACAATATAAATCCCCAATTAACCCCGTTTTCCAGTTCTGCTTCTGTTTGCTATTATCTTCGCATCCCTCTATCCCCAGTCTAAAAACCTATCTTCATCTAACGAGATCACACAATAACCAACAATTATTATGAAATCAAGTCCTCAGTCATTTGAGAAAATAAAGGTCCTTTAAAACCAATTACCTTTTTAATGTTTTACTAATAAATGAGTATACTGATGAAATATTTCTCTTAATATAAAAGTATTCTAAAACAAAGAATACAGAGGTGTTAGTTGGCATTCCCTATGGTTTTTTAATACACAATGACAGTGCTGGTCCAAGAAAAAGGGAAATGACCCTTTCAATATCTCCCGAACATGGTTATTAATGGGTATAACCAATACTTTATGGTAGATATCAATGAAATTATTGCCTGATAACTTCTAAATGTACTGGTCTATTTTAATAAAATAACGCTCCTCTGGCTTTCATTAAGCAGATATTCTTCAGTACATACAAATTGTTTTCCTTTTAGTGCTAATTCTGTATTGTAAAGCTTGGTCTGATGAACACATAATTTATCAAAATGATTTGCTTCTCAGATTATGTTCTATACAAAATGTAAAGCAAAATCATTTTAAAGGTTCTAGTAGACATTAACTACTTACAACTAAAAATCAGCAACACTGTATTCACGCCAGTGTTCTTAGGAGCCCTGTGAGGACTCGCCTGGAGACTCGCGTCTACCTGCTCTTTATACATAACACATGAACAGCACACTTTACAGTGAGAGCCTTCCAGAAGGTTCTTCGTACCTAGCAATGGGCATCAACTATTATGTGCATAAATACTCAAAAAATACTTCATGTCTAACTTCCTGTAATCCTTAACACTCAGCTTCAAGACCAGATGAATGAAGGAGGACTGAATATGGGGCTCTGTGGTGGGAAACTTGCTCATTGTTACCTAAATCTAGGTCCCAAGTTTTAAATCCAATATCACAAAAAAAAGTAAACACGTAATTCTTCCATACTTTTCAACTATCACTTTCATAATTTATACAAAGTATTAGTGTATAAAATAAATCCAATTATTATTCCTTTTTTCCCAAAACCAATCCCTAGGTACATATTCGTGCAACTATTTCTTAAGGGGAAAGCCAGGCAAGCACAGTGAGGACGATGCCTTATATTAATCTATTAATAAGAGAATCACAGGTAATGCTTCTGCATGAAACTGTTACGTTATTAAATATCCAAAGCAACCAAAACTTTGTTTTTGAGAAATTGAGCACATCTATGATAGCACTCATTCCAGTTCTACAAACAGTAAGTATCCTTCCCTTCAGCACTCTCTGAGGCAGTCATAAGAACCTGTCTGTCTCCAGCCACTTGACAATTGGGAGACACAAAGTCCAAGGAATTACTTGCCCACGATCACACAAGGAGTCAGGAGTACGGCAGGACAAAGAAACCTTCCCAGTCCAAGAGACCACGCAGCCTCCCAGTTTCCTGAAACAAATTTCCCATCACCCATCCAACCAAACCACAGCCCTTCAGCAGCCTTGTTTTTTCAGGAAACCCTTTTCTAACCACCTAAGACTCCCCCAACAATGAGGTAGCCGTAGGTGGAGTTGACCAATCTCACTGCAGGAATCTGAGACCAGGTGCACCTACATCTTCGCGGCATGAGATGTCCGTCCTCTCCCTTGATTTTAGGTCTTACATATCCATATCCTGTTTTTTCATGAAGTCAGTGGTTCTCAAATTGAGCCTGTGGATCACCAGAGGCCACCAGGACCTAAATGGTGGTCCACAGATAGTTATCTCCAGCCCAGCCCACCCTGTCACCCTCCCTTCACAACTGCCCACCCCACATTCCAGCCACCCTCCCACCCAAGCCTCTCAGCCCCATGGCAAGGTTACCACATGCAGCACTAATTGGGGCCTCCCAACCACTTGTGTATCTAATAGCTGACCACCATCTAGGGACCTGGGGCTAGACGGCCTAAGAGGCAGGAGCAAAGGCATTTATAAGCGGGTGCAGGCACTATGAGAGGACAGGGACAGAGGAATGGAATATTAGGGTGGCAAAGGGTTCTTGGGGATAGTGATCCACCAAAACTAAACCTGTAATAAAGTATCCCATGAGGAAAAGTTTTGAAAACCACTGCTCTGAAATGATTAGGTTAGTAGTCCAACAGGAACTGCGGAATATTCTGAACAGCACCTGGTACAGTTAGCATTCAAAACAGTTAAGTAAAACCACCCCCACCAAAACCAACAGCAAAAAAAAAAAAATATATATATATATATGAAAAAGAACAACCTCCAGATATAAAGTGAGTGGCTTTTCAGCCATATTTGTACATTTGGCATTGATTGTGTCAGGATCTCAGCCCATCTTCAGTGTCCATCCTGGAGCATATACACAGTACATTTACTCAGGAACTTAGGTTAGTCACTTGCCTCTGCATTTCTAATGTATTATTATAAAGAAACAAAAAAACAACTTAGCTTTGTATTTTTTGACAGTTTGTGTACCTTTTTAATCCAGGCTTGGGCACCAGTATTAGCCAGCTGTTCCTGTGTCAGGACTTGTACTCCCGTACTTCCTGTGAACTGCCCAGGGATAGAGTTCAACTGAGCCCAGGCGTCAATCTGAAGAAAAAGGAGTCATCTTCATTAAGTAAAATTACTGATCTGATCAAAGTGCCACACTGGTAACAGTTTAATTCACTGAGGAAAAAAATGGCTTTGGTACCTAAAATGGCCAAATAATGATATATTTAAAGTTTGAAGTTTTTTTTTTAAGTCTTTTAAGTAAGCTTTACTGCATTCTATGAAATTCACTAATGCATCTGAAGGAATTCAATGCATCTCCAACTAAAAATTATCACTGTAACACTCGTTCTTTAAAATAACAGATAGATGGAAAAATGCTCTCATGGCCAAAGCTCTGTCTTTGCCATCTGACCTATCATACATAAGACAGCATTCAAATGAATGCTAAGACAGTCTAGATCTCCGAATACTCTTATGGGATAACAATTTGAACCTATCCATGGCATAATATAGATGATCATCAACAGAAAACTTTTTTTAAAAAAGTAGACATCACTCACCAACACCTAGTATATAATACAATCAAGTGCCATTCATATTGCATTTAATGCATACCTAGTATCGCAAGTTCATTTTGCTGAAACATGGAAAATAGTTATACCTCAAGGAGTTGTGGGCATTCTATGTGCACATAAGACTGTAAACTCTAGCTGTAGTATGTAATGAGCATTTTCTTAGTGATTAGGTCAAGTCATTTAAAGTTACTAAGAACAAAGTGTAATAAGTATAAAATATAAAACATAATATGTAAACTCTGTGTCTCCAGTCCCCGTTTACGCACCCTGGAATGATGTTAATGAAATTCACATGTAAACATTACAAAAGCCACGTACCCGTTCTTGAGCTCGATTTAACATACTCATGGCTTCAAGGTCAAATGCATTCTCACTGAGTCTCTTCTGAGCAAGCGCCCGTTCACTCATTGCTGTTGAAATGTCCACAGGCTAAGAAAGAAAACATAGATAATTATCCCACATTACCACAGTGCCCTAATTCTCTCAGGTGCTTCTAGAGCTTTAGTGCTATATGTAAAAATAAATAAATAAATGATAGTCTATATATTAAGATTCTTGGAAAATGAGAAGATTCAAAAGGCAAGAGGGCACTCCTGGAAAATAGAAGACAATTAAGGTAAGTTAGTTATCAAGTATTCAGAGGCAAAACTAAATTATGACTGATTTCATCAGTATATTTTCTACAATATCAAACTATAACTGTTGAGTTTCATTAAACTTATAATTTATAGTCTGTACTAACAAGCCACGTCATTTAAGATGGTAGTTTTATCTTTAGGAATTCATCATACTCTATTTGATAATTACTGTAACTTCCAGAGTCGTGAGCAAGTCCGGATAAGCAAGCAGGTAACCGCGAGAATCTGTGTGGCTCTTGACTCATCAGCATGCTTCACAGGAGCAAAGCTGGGCACGGATGTGCTTTGGTCCTGAGAACCCAAGCTCTTGATATACATCCAGTATATAGCTATCTTGAATTTACCCACACTTATTACAAATGTACAAATAACTGACTTTAAAAGTGTTTACGTCCTCCCCAAAATATCTATCTCTTAATACTAAGGCAAAGGCTGAGATAATAGTTCAGTGGTCTAGCATGTGTCAAGTAGGTCATCAGCATCACAATTTCTTTATAAAATGGAAACAAAGCCCTTGTGCTAAGCAGATTAATTTTAACTTTTAAAAGCCATCCTTAAAGGAAATTTTCAGCTGTCAGATTTGTTAAGGGTTTTACTTGAGTTTTGTTTATAACACGAACTGAATTATATGAACACACTATTTTGTTTCTTTGAATATTATTTAACCTAATAGTATTTCCCAGTTATTTCACATAATTATTATAAAATATCTGATACAAGGATTTACTTTTTTTCACATATAAAGAGTCAGTAGTAGATACCGCATGCAAATTATAAATAAATCAGTAAGATAAAAGTAGAAGGTGATGTAATACTGTATACTGTGTGTAATTCCTAGAAAAATAAATCTATATAGGACTAAGAATAATATTTTATATATAGGACTAAGTGTCCTTTTTTCCAATTTCAGATTCCCTTACATAGCATTCTGTTACATTAACTGAAATTATCCAAGACTCCTTTAACTAAATCATTTTTCTACAAAGTATACTTTTCTGACATAAAATGCATAAATTCCTATAATTTGTGCTTATTAGACTTTATTTACTTTAAATGAAAGCTCTTACTTGATTAGCTAACAGTAAATTATTTCTTAAGGCCTACATAAAGACAACCTATGTATAATCACACCAACACACTGTATTCACCTTCTGCATTTACTGTGAGTTGATTTAATTCCTGGGACTCAAATCTGTTCCATGTGATTCCTGGGTCTTTCAATGAATATAGTTATTTCAGATCACAGTTTATGTTTCCTAGGACTTCCTGAGATGTCACCTAAACTGTCAAGTGGAGTTATCCCACCAAACCGCCAAATGAGAGGTGGACCATCTCACAGACTTGCTTTGGTTTCAAAGTACTCTGCAGTGGTAGGATGTTAGGGCACAGGGAAAGACTAAAATCACTGGGGAAAGTGTCTGCTCACTCCAGTCAGACCCTCCAACTTCCAAATATAAGCCATAAAAAATGCATTTAGCTCCAAAAACTAAATATTCTCAAGTTTAAAAAAAAGAGCAAAACTAAAAATCCATCCTTTATAGGCATATTTACCTATATTTATGTCATTGAGAAATAACCTAAATACTCCTTCTAGCAAGTTTCAAATTAAATTTACATTTCATTGTAAAAAGCATGTTTAATATAACCTTGATGTTTAAATTATAACTATTTCCTAATACAACTGCATTTATTCAACAGGCTTAGCAAATAAAGCAGCAAGTTCAAATCAAAATTTTACTAATTTCTTAATTTAATGTGCAGATTAATATTCAGACTGAGAGACTCATCTTAGGTTAAGAGTACAGCTCAGCAGCAGAGCACTTCCCCAGCGCTGCACCTCTAGCACCACAAAAGATGGGGGAATGTTTTTAAGATCTACAAGGATTTTACCCAGCTTTTCAAGACAATACATATTATATGCTAAAACATAAAGGACTAGCCAAGGTCCCCAAACTTTAATCCCAGCACTTCGGAGGCAGAGGCATGTGGATCTAGCTGGCTTTGAGGACAGCCTGGTCTACATAGAGTTCAGGCCAGCCAAAGCTGTCTTAGAAAACAAAACAAAAAAATCCACACAGCTAACAACTTAAAATTTGGGGAAATTAATGGCTGATGATTGCTACATTGAAATAAAGTTTTAAAATCTTAACCTGCATAGTAAACAAACATGAAAAAAATGTCCCAAGATAAAGTCCTTCTACAAACTAAGAGTTTTTTTTTTTTTTTAAAAAATCCATGAGACATTTGTCACATTACCACACTTTATGTTTCCACTGATAGATGAGCAGGTCATCTTGCTTCCCAGCGCACAAGACGCACATCTGTAAAGTAACTATACGGTAGCACTACTCTACTGACAGCGACAGAACTCTCAGTCCCTCCTCCCGTGTGAATAAACAATCCCGTTTCTTTGATCTTTATCTAAAGCAGGGATCCTCTAAAACCTGCCAGTATTATCAAGTTATCCAGTTTCCTGCCCCGTAATCACACACACATAAGGCTCTCTTTACAGGTTGTGTACTTCAACCTCTCCATTCACTTTACTTGCCCCTCTCATTAAGCCCAGTGACTTTTAGAAACAAAAAAAATGTACTGTTCAGGATTTCACAGATGTCAGTGACTGACAGACAGAGAGTAAAGGTTAAAAGTTAAGTGTGATAGGCTATACTAGATTTTCTACACAGGTTGACTTCAGGTACCTCAAAGAGTATAAAAGAAAACCTTAACAAAATACCTAAATAAAAAAAACCTCTAGCATATAAAGCATTTAAAAAATACTTAACAAGATGATTAAAATGCACCAGTATTAAAATACAACATACTGTCAACTTCAAAATGAAAAGGCACATCAACATAGAATAATCCCTAAGTCACAGTTTTTTTAATGAATCATGATTTTTATTATTCAAAATTTTATAGCATTAATTGACTTTATCTAAATGAATTAATATTTTTCTCCTTCTAAGTGCTTCAGAGAAATTCAGGGTTAACAGCTTATAAAAATCTAGAGAAAAAAAGAGTAAGAACGCTACACATCATTCTGGAGTATCTAATTCAAGAGCCTGTACTTCAGCTGCAGTTAGTTTTCTTCCTTGTCCAAGATGTTACCGTTGATAAACTTCATAAACTAGGAGTCTCCAATTTCAAGGAACTTTAGCTAATAGGATGTAGATATGATCCAATAATACAAACCTGACAAACTGCTTGAGACAGAAATGTTAATATCCAAGCAATAACTAGAGCTGGGTGGCTATAAAGCAATGTATGTGTAAATCCCAAATCAGTGGTTCTGACCGGTCAGATTCCTCCACTTGTGAATTTGCAGTACTATAATACTCTAATCAATAACCCTGTGCTAACCTGTTAAAGAACTGTCCTTGAAGACTACTCTTCTAATACTTTCCACTTTCTTGTTTATAACTCAGATTCACACATTCACACAAATCTGGTGAAAGTTCTGTAGTCACTCCTTACTGAGGATGCTCCTGGCTGGTCTCTGGGAAGACGATGCTATGGCAGAAGGATCTGATGAGTTGTTTTCCATAACATGGCTTTACATAGTTTCGTCCATGTCTATTGCTCACATCAGCACACTCATGTCCAAGACAGTTGTGGGGTTAGGAATTACAAGGACAACTTAGCCATTGTGAAGATAAAATTCTGTCATCAGCACACTCATGTCCAAGACAGTTGTGGGGTTAGGAATTACAAGGACAACTTAGCCATTGTGAAGATAAAATTCTGTCATCTTTGCTGAAATGTTTTATGGTCAAGACTGAAGAACCATAAGCTTCAATTATACTTATTAAAACAAACAAAACAAACAAAACAAAAAACAAAAAAAAACTACCTTGCCATTTAAAAAAAAATGTTAAACAAAACAAAACCAACTCATTTGAAACCCTATTAAAATCAGAAGGGTTATTGCTCCCAGAACGCGTTCTACAAACTTAGATGTACACTTAGTACACTTAGACGGTAACTAACAACTGAGTATTCTCATTTGTCAGCTTCCCTTTGGCACCTTTAACAGTTACAGAAATACAGATTTGAAAGCAAATCAATCTTGTCCCTTGGTTCTTACAAAGTTGGGATTCTTTTCATTACAGCTGCAGTTGATTCCGATACTCCATGTCTAAATCTCTGAATTAGTAGCTCAAGAGAGCTCACCCTGCACTCCTCTTTCAAGAAAGACATCTGAGCACGGGTAGAGCTTTCCTTTTGTTCAGTGTTGCCATCCTCTCTGAACACTGCCCCTTAATGAGAACCTAACTTCTGATGGGAAGTAAGACTAAAGCATCACTTAGTGTTGAGAATGAAGATGGCAGTCATAAATTATAATACTTTTTCTTGGTCAAAAAGTATAATCAACATGTATTAAGCACTTTCTCCATGATTCAACAGTTATAATTTTCTCAGGAAAACTCTTAAGTATTCTACAGTCTTTGCTACACAGGAGATTCTTGCCCGCTTAAAATGCTTAATCTGTAATAAATTACTAAAAGCGAATATATCAGGACATCTAAATCTGTACAGCCCTCACCTGGTTTATATCTGGCTACTACAAGAAGATTAAGTTAGCTGTAAATGTCAGCTTTCTCTCCTGGGATGTGGCAGTAGCCTGATTTGGGGATTAGTAAATGAGCACTAAACTTGTACTGTCCAAGTCAGCGTCTCTTCTCCTCACTGGTGATGGTGTAATATGCTTCTGTTACTGAACTCCATGTGAATACCGACCATCACCTTTAAGTAAGTTAGCTGCACTGGCACTCACGTTTAACATTATTATATAGAACTGTTCCCATTCAAAATGCCGCAGGTCAAAAAAACACAGTGAAAATGTCGCCTTTGAATTTCTCTGGGGAAAAGTACTGCATGAAAAAGTTTGATTTGAGTTCTGTTTACTTTGATTCATAAGATTTATTTGTAGAATTGCAAGTGTTTACTGGAAAATGTTTATGGCCAATGTAGGGAACCTCAAGTGAAGAGTAGAGGTCTCTCAGACCTACATATCCCAGAACTGCAAGAAAAAGGAGTCCATAAGGGCATCAGGTAGCTAAGTCCAATCCTTAGACAAATGTCAAGGCTTTGGAAACCAAGGGCAAGGTGACGGCTGCTAGTCTCTAACTCCCACCTCCCCTACTCAAGTCTCCACCCTTCCCAATCCCCAAGCGTGATTTTGCACAACAAGTTAAATAAAAGTAAACTGTTTATTAAAAGACACAGCAAAGATACAGATACAGAGATACATACAAAGGTACAGATATATATATATTTACATATATATACAGGTTTGCTGTTCTCATGTGCACTGTATTTATTAGCAGCACAGTACTTAGTCAGGCGGCATTTTAATGGGGTTGTTTTGACATTTGGCATTGTTACTGTGTCATTTTGACAAGATACAACTATATTGCCTTGAAAAATTTCAATATATAAATTCCACTCCTCCAACTTTTAATAGTAGCAAAGAGGGGAAGGAGAAGGGAATGGAGAACCAAGGCTGAACACTAGGTTAAACACAAGAATTCAAAAGGGCTAAGGTAGCACAAGGAAGGGAACTTACTGAAAACCCAGAAAAATATAAGATACCATCACACAAGGGTGATGGGCTTTGTACCCAAGATGTTCACATCAGCCTAAAATAACTCTTCCAATGCAGTTCTTGTGTTGAACCTGAGGATCTGCCTTCTCTCGCCTCAATCCCTCCACCCAATAAACTTGCTACCACCAAAATCTAGAGCTATAGAGCCTTGAAGCAAAACGGGAAGCTAAATAGTTGTACCTTGGGCTACCTTCCCACAAGTGCATGGAGGGCCCAATGTTGGGTAGGGATGTGATAACACTTTTCTCTGCAATTCGATGCTTTTCACTTTGTGGCTTCGTTCCACAAAGTGAATTGCATCGAGTTACTGTCAAATGAGAAGCTGCGGGTTGTTTCATCTGTCGTTTAACCCGGCCCTGCCGTTTAACCCGGCCCTAAGAAGAGTGAAACAGAATCCGAATCAGATATAAAATAACAATAAAATGGAAGATTCAGATATCAAAACAAACATGTGGTGTTCCTCCTACTTACCTCTGAGGGCAAGCTGCTGCTGAAAACATTATCATCATCTTTGCTTTCTTCACCATTTTTCTCCACTGGAACCCACTCTCCATAAACACTATCTGCTTCCTTTTTCCGATGTTGAGATCCGGATGACACAGGAAACTCCTTTGTTAATGTCACTTGGCTTTTTGGTGGAGTTGGCTTTGCTGCAGCAATCTGAAATACAGTATTTAATTAGAATGCATTGTAACAGATACCATCTATAGATGGCTTCTAAAGAATCTCAATGTAGTCTAAAGGAGAGGCTCCTTCGATTTTGTCAGTGCCGGAAGTTGAACCTACAGCCTCACACATCCTAGGCACGCATACTACCACAGAACAATTCTCCCAGCCCTGCGGCGTTCAGGAGACACTGTCACGATTCATCACAACAGTTAAACTCTACGCGGGTTTTCAAACAGCCCCACAAGCCGTGCTGCTTCATCAGTCCATAGCACTTTACTAATACTCACATTCAAATTGAAAAAAATGGGCTTGGGTTCACTGAGTTTAAAGGGATGATGATAAAAAGGAGGTTCTTCTTCCTCTTCATCCGAAACATGAGGTTTATTCACTATTACATCATCATCTTCTTTACTCTGTGCAATCTGTTTGCATTTCTTTAAAGTAAAAACAAACAAAAGATGAATATGGTTTACAAAAACAGGATGCATTTTTCAAAAGAATAATGTAAGATCAATTTCAAGTAATCAACATTTATGATAGCTTATAAAACCATAATTTAGACCATTAGCTATTATTTAAACACACACTGGCTGCTCAGTCAGTCAACAACATTTATTGAGCACCTACTATGTGCAGAGCACTGTACTGGGCACTGTCTTGGGAAAAAATACAAAAAAAAAAGAAAGAAAAGAAAAAAGAGAGAAAAGAAAAAAGGAAAAAGATAAAATAAAGGGAAAGACATGGTCCCTGCTCCAAAGGAGCTTACAATCTAATACGAGACAAAAGTACATACACATGAAGTAATTGAAGAACCTTTTTACAGAGCAACACAATAACAAGTGCAAACTGATATAATACAAATGGTACATAAGTGCTAAAAGAACAAAGGCTTAAGAGAATATTCAGGCAGGGTTTAAGGATCAAAGAATATTCCTTCAAGAGTTCTAAGCAAAATTCCCACAGTAAAGAACAAGAAATAGGAAGGAAAGGGAAGTCATCTTGGTCAGGTGGTGGTGAGCAAGTTGGGAGACACTTGTCAGAGGGACAAGAACGCTGAAGATGAGGCAAACAACAGCAAACGCTAAGCGGTCATAGAGTTTTCGATAAAGAGCTTGCATTTGGTAAGTAAGCAATAGAGGCTTTTTGCTAGGTCTTTTTTAAGTTATAAGTCATACTATAATGAATCTAAGTGAAGAAACAAATTAAGAAACTTTATAATCCCCAAATGTATGGTAAAGATTTTAAACATTTGTGGCAGGGTAAATAGTAACATCTCTCTCCATAAATGTTTTTTAAAATTTATTTCAGGACTGTAACTTAAGAATGGAAAATAAGGCATGATGGAGAGGGCGCAATTGATGCAGTCCAACACACAAAGTCAATTCCTTCCTTAGAAGCAAAGGACATATTCCATTTATAAAAAGGTTAAGAGTAAATTTTAGTAGACCTGTCTATACAAGCAGAATTTATCACATCTATTATCAATTGAAAATATTACAATAGAATTAAAAAGCTCAATTAGCCAAAAACACAAGAGTGTATCAAGCATGTAACCAATGGGAACAGAATATGTTGACAGTTGCAGGCTGGCATAAGGCTAGCCAAGAACAAGTTTCAGTATATGAAACAGTATGTTATTTCTGGATCCTAGCAGCAATGTTTCAGCGTCTTCCCCACACACACAAAAAAAATATTAAAGTAAAACAAAGCTTCCCCCAACAGCCTCAATTTCAAAAGATCAAATTTTTAAAAACAAAAATAAGTATATTTAAAATATGTTACTGCCAAAACCCGAACCGCAGGAAGAACTGATAATGGCCGGCCATTATCGCCAATGGCTGGTACCAAACAGCCAAAACCCGAAATGTTGATGCGAAAGAAGTTCCTTTCAGGCAATGGCCAGCTATTCTCATTAATTTCCAAGCTCCGGTGGCAAAAGATCATTTCTGAAGATTGTCTGTGTCTTTGCGTATATGCAGTACACTCTTGGCGATCAGTGAACACGTCGTGAATGGAAACGAAACTGTAGGCGAGCTTCTGCGTGTTGCTCACTCAACACCTCCTCCATTCAAACGAACCGTTCCACTCCTCAGTCAGTTTGGCTTCTAAAACTGGAAAGCAAAAGTAATGGGAAGTAACTTTTTAGCTAGCGGAGCTTAGCCATCCCGGATAATGGCCTGCTAAACAGAGCTTCTGCCGCTGCCACATCTGTATTTCGGGTTTTGGGCACTCGGTGCCAGCCATTATCAGTTCAGCCCACAATTCAGGTTTTGGCACGCTCCAGAGTCAACATCCATGGAAAAATCCATTTAAGAATGGAAACAAATTCTGTCTAGCTTACCTCAGTTAGTTCTTCTATGGTAGCTCCTCCAGACTTTTTAGCAACTTTCTCTTCTATTGTAGGTGGAGGTGCAGGCTTTAGGTTTGGTGGTAAAGGAACACCAGCCTTAGCACACATGGCAGCTGCATTAGCTTTGGCTATTTCAAGTAATTGAGCCTTATCTGTAAGAGGAAAAATACAGGAAGCAGTTTTCCTAAAAGCTATATATATTTTTAATTCTGTCAAAAGTATGATATACAGTAAAATTAAAGGCCCCAAGTTTGAGACATGATTCAGGTGGATGGGTCCTTTTCAACAATTTAACACTATGTTTCCAATTCAAATGCTACACACAATAGCTTACTGTGAATTTATGATGATCAACTAACCACAAATTATAAGGTACAAGTCTGCCAAAAGCAATGTTATTTCCTAAAATTAGCATGACCTAAAACCATTCTCATTTTCATACTAGGTATGCAGTTCAGTTGAAGAATGCGTACCAAACATGTACAGGCTCAGCCCTGGGTTCAAGCCTCAGCATTCTATAAAACTGCTCTTGGAAAACTGCTAGCCCTAGCACATGACAGAAGTATCAGAAGTTTAAGGTCAACCTCAACTTACACAGTGGGCTATAAAAGCTAGTCTCTGACTGTCTTAAACAAACCTCATTATAATCTGAAAACAACTTAATCCCTTGTTAAGCCCCAAGTGTCATCTCTTTCAACAAGCCTTCACTGAGTTAAGAATTATCATTCCTCTCCATTGTGCAAATGTGCCCCCTACACTATTACTAAGGCAATTACCACATTCTATTCTTCTAAGTATTGTCCTTTGGTAAAAGGAATGCATGCTACCAACTTCCTACACTAACTTAAAATCAACAAGAATTACCTACTGTTTCTCTGTTCTGAGAAGAGACATAAGAAAACTCTTGCTAAACTGAATACAAATTCTACTATCTTCACTGTCTTTACAAACCAAGAATGTCCTATCTATTGGAAATAGGATAAATTACCCAGTAGGTAATCATACTTCAAGTTTTAGTAAGAAAAAACATTTATTTTTTATAGACAACAGATTATCACTTCATTGAAAAGGTTGCATCATTAATTCAGTTAAGTCCGCAGATAACAAAATTTCTTAATTTCAGTAACCTATCAAATCCATTTAACAACCCTAGATAGCCACCTTAAGATAGGCTAGCTAAAGTCAGGCATGGTGGGTCAGTCTCAAAGCCCTGCCATCAGGAATCTGAGGAAAGAAAATAAGCACTTTGGGCTGGCTACACAGTTAAGTTCCAGGCCAACATGAACTATAGGCCATCTCAGAAAAAGAACGGAAAGGAAAGGAAAAAAGGAGAGGAGCGGAGGGGAGGGAAAACAGAAAAGAGCCCCCACCCAATAAAAATTACTAAGTAAGAATTCTGCTTATTTGCAAAGCCATGTGTTGAAATGAAATATACACAACACACAACCGGACTTGTAAGGTTTCGCCATCTATGTAAGGCAAAATACCCAGTATAGACACATCAAGACTCTGATAGGTTCCCCACAGCAGGTCTTTTTTACTTTTTAAGTGCACTTCCCCTCTTTTTCCAAACATAATCTAATGATCTTTAAATCAATAACCCAAAATATTACCTCAAGATCATCAGAAATTAAGCTTAAATCATACCCTATTACAATGTAAAGCATGACTCACCCAAATCTGTTAGACGTTTGGGTGATCTGCCTCTTTCAGAAGACCTGGATCTTTTCCGACGAATGGGAGATCTACTAAACCTTCTTCTCAAAGGTGTTCTTGATCGCCTTAATCTGACTGGTGATATACTGAAGCTCCGTCTTCTCACCACAGACCGTGATCTTCTCCTGCGGCTGGGGGTTCGGCTCCTGCGGCTGGGGGTTCGGCTCCTGCGGCTGGGGGTACGGCTCCTGCGGCTGGGGGTACGGCTCCTGCGGCTGGGGGTTCGGCTCCTGCGGCTGGGGGTTCGGCTCCTGCGGCTGGGGGAAATGCTGAAACTTCTCCTTCTACCAACAGATCTAGACCGTCTCCTCCGACTAGGAGTGTGACTCCTACTCCGACGACTAGGAGTTCGACTCCGAGCTCGAACTGTTTTCCGGTTGTCTCGGGAGCTTGATCTTTTCCTTTTCCTTTCCCTGGACTTGGATCTATGCTTTGGAGATCTTTTGCGTTTCTCTTTTGATACAGATCGTCTTCCTCTAGACTTGGATCTTGACCTGCTGCTCCTCCTCCTGCGTCTTGAACGTGACCGTGAACGTGTTTGAGAACGATGAGACTTGGACTTAGATGATCTCTTCCTTGCTCTAGAACGAGACTCACTGGTACGCTTACGTGATTTATGTTCAGAAGACTTGGAACGCTTACTCCGAGACCTTAATGAAGAGTCCCTTTTCTTCTCTTTCTCACCTTTGTCACGGTTTTTATTTTTCTTGCTTTTTTCATGTGTGTCCTTAACTTTTACAAAAATTTCATAATCATCCTTTTCCTCTGAAGATGACTCTGAAGCTCTTTCTGGTATACTAATTACAACTGGACTGGCAGCTGACTTGTCACGTTCAACCTCACTAGCAAGTAAAGGTCCTTCAATGCCAGCTCTAAGGCTTGTAAGACGCTCCATGTCCTTAGGAAGTAATGGTCTCACTAAGTCAGCTTCATTAATTTCATCAATGCTGGCAGAATATCCTGAATCAGGAACTATTTCTTTATTGGGAAGAGGTACTTCTGTATCTTCACTGCTTTCTTTAGGACTAAGAGCCACTGCCACTGTCTGGTCACTCTCTTTTATAGGTAATGAGTCTTCCACATCCTTACAAACAAGATTAGTTGGTGGCAAATCAAGATGAATGTCTTTAGCAGGCAAAGGTCCCTCTATGTCTGCTTCACTGCCACCACTGGGGCTGGTTGAAATTACCATGTCATGTTCAGTATCCTGAGTAGTTATAGATACTTCAACATCATATTTACTCTCTGAAATGGGTGCAGGTGCTGTGACAAATTCAAACCCCTTACTAGTTCCTCCTGTATCTAATTCCAGAGCAAGTTGAGAGGACAGACTTCTTCCTACATCAGCTTCACTAACAGGAGGACAGGTATCCAATTCTGTAATTTCTTTAGACTCACTAATAGGCAAAATTTTCTCTTCACTTGTTTCACCAACAGGACCAATGGAAGTAGCACACACTGTATTATGCTCTGCATCTTTTGCAATTAAATGACTGTTTACAGTAAGGTCTGCATTTCTATCATACTCATTTTCATACAAGTCACTTTTCAAGTGTCCTCCATCATGTGGCTCTTCGCTTGGATGCAACAGAGTCTCCTGCATGCCAACCTCTGGACCAAGATTTTCATCACCAGAAAGTAAATTCATTCCTTTTATAATCTGTGACGACATAACACTAGATTCCGCTATTACTGGTGAAGACTCTACAGCCATGTCAGGTGATCCTGTTATTTGAGTGTGCTCTGAGACTATGACCGCAGGTTCTGAAACTGCCATAGTGGGTTCCTGGACAGGAACACATGGTTCTGAAACAATCATAACAGGCTGAAGGACTGATACTGCTGGTTCCAAGATAGGCACAGAAGGCTCCAGGGAAGAAACACTTGACACTGCAGTGGTAGTATGTTCTGGGTCAACCAAAGCTGGAAGCTCTGGGACAGCCACAGGAGGTTCTGAGACAGATAAGGAGCAAAGTTCTGCAGTAGTCATGGCAGGAGGCTCTGGAGCAGCCACAAGAGGTTCTGGGACAACAACAGTGGGGGGTTCTGGGACAGCCATAATGGGAGGCTCTGGGTCAGCCACAGCAGGGAGTTCTGAGACAGCAACAACAGGAGATTCTGTGGTAGTCATAGTGGAAGGTGCTGGGACAGCCATGGATGGGAGCTCCAGACTGTTCTCTGCTGGCTGTGAAATAGTTACTGCTGGCTCCAAGAGTGACATAGATACCTCTGAGATAGCATGTCCTGATGGTCTCATGGAATCGTATGTTTCTGATGTCTCCGACATAACAGAAGCCTCTGATGTTAACACAGCTGGTTCAGCTGACATGGTATTCTCAGAAACCATGTAAGTCATTGGTCTCTCTGGAACCATTTCATGTTCTGCTACTGCAGCAGACTCAACTGGTATTGATGTAACTGAAGACTCAGGCTCTCGTGCAGGTTCTGGAACAGTCATAACAGCCTCTGATGCTAACATTGAAGTCTCAGATTCTGACACTGAATAATTAGCAGGTACTGCCAACGGCTCTGAAATCTCACTTTGACTCACAGGAGGCTCAGGCTGTGATACAGATTCTTCAGTAGGTAATGCCACCTCTGTAGACCAAGTATTGTCAGCTGTTAACGCTGACTGCTCTGTTGATAATGCTGGACCCTCTGGTGGTTCCTCAGGAGGTAATGGGGGTGTCATTGGTGGTTCCTCAGGTGGCAATGGTGGCATTGTTGGGGGCTCTTCAGGAGGCAAAGGTGGCACCATATATGCCTCCGTATAGGAATCAGTGTAAGAATCAGTATAAGAATCAGCTGCCATAGACATCATTGACCGATCAGTGTAAGATGACATCATTGATCGATCAGCTGCAGAGTATGATGACATCATAGACCGGTCAGCTGCAGAGTACGATGACATCATAGACCGGTCGGCACCCATGGACATCATAGATCGATCAGCCATAGGAGACATCATGGAACGCTCATAAGCTGACATCATAGAGCGTTCATAAGCTGACATCATAGAACGCTCAGCCATAGGAGACATCATGGAGCGCTCATAGGCCGACATCATGGAGCGCTCATAGGCCGACATCATAGAGCGTTCAGCCATAGGGGACATCATAGAGCGTTCGTAAGACATCATAGAGCGCTCATAAGATGACATCATGGAACGTTCTGCAGCATAGGACATCATCATAGACCGTCTAGATGCTAACATCAAGGGTCTAGGTGCTAACCTGTATGGCCTAGGTGCTATTCTATAGGACCTGGGTGCTATTCTATAGGGCCTAGGTGACACCCTATAGGGATCCGGAGTTAGTCTGTAGGGATCATGGCCTAATCTGTAAGGGTCCTGTCCTAACCTGTAAGCATCATGGCCTAACCTATAGGGGTCATGACCCAACCTATAGGGATCCTGAGCTAATCTGTAAGGATCCTGAGCTAACCTATAAGGATCAGGAGATTTTGAACCCATCATAGCAGAATCCTGGGTACTAGATGCTAACATTTGGGCATCCATGGTACCAGATGCTAACATCTGAGCATCCATAGTGCCAGAAGCTAACATTTGAGAATCCATAGCACCAGATGCTAACATCTGTGAGTCCATGGAACTGGTTGCTAACATCTGTGAGTCCATGGAACTGGTTGCTAACATCTGGGAGTCCATACTGCTGGTTGCTAACATCTGGGAGTCCATGGAGCTGGTTGCTAACATCTGGGAGTCCATGGAGCTGGTTGCTAACATCTGAGAGTCCATACTGCTGGTTGCTAACATCTGAGAGTCCATGGAGCTAGTTGCTAACATCTGGGAGTCCATAGAGCTAGTTGCTAACATCTGGGAGTCCATAGAGCTAGTTGCTAACATCTGGGAGTCCATGGTGCTAGAAGCTAACATCTGGGAGTCCATGGTGCTAGAAGCTAACATCTGGGAATCCATGGTATTGGATGCTAGCATCTGAGAATCCATAGTGTTGGATGCTAGCATTTGGGAGTCCATGGTGTTGGATGCTAACATATGGGTCTCCATGGTGTTAGAAGCTAACATATGGGATTCTTGGGCCATCAAGGGATCCACTCCTACTGTTACAGAAGTCTCCCCCACCAATGTAGTAGGCAGCTCCTGTGCTACCGTATTATAGGATTCCAGCGCTGTCGTCGAGGGCACCTCCAGGGACTGCGACACGGTCATCGTTGACAGCTCCGATGTTGTCACCACAGACTGAACAGAGATCTCCAGCGCCACAGTTGCCACAGGCTGCCCAGGCAACTCTGGCGCTCCAGGCTGCCCTGGTAACTCTAGCACCCCCGTTGCCAGGGGCTGCCCCAAAAGCTCCAGTGCTCCAGCTGCCCCAGACTGCCCCGAAAACTCCAGTGCCCCAGTTGCCATGAGCTGACCAGGCAACTCTAATGCCCCAGTTGCCACAGACTGCCCTGACAACTCCAGTGCCCTAGTTGCCGAAGGCAGCCCTGACAACTCTGGCACCCCAGTCACCGAAGGCTGCCCAGACAACTCCAGCGCTGTTGTTGCCACTGGCTGTCCTGGCAACTCCAGCACCATTGCTGCCTCTGGCTGCCCCAGCAACCCTGTTGCTGTTGTCACCTCAGGATGCCCAGGATGTTCCACCGTTGTCATCGCCACAGGCTGCTCGAACTCTGTCGTCGTCACAGGTTGTTCGGTCAACTCCATTGCTACTGTTACTGCAGGTTGCCCTGTCAACTCTATTGCTGCTGGCACTGCAGGCACCCCTGACAACTCCTGTGCCATCACAGGCGGCTCGGGTACCTCCTGTGGTGGCTCCAACCCCATGGATGGTGCTGGAGGCCCTGGCAATTCCTGCAACAACTGTGGCACTGGTGTCACAGAGGGCCCCGGCAACTCAGGGACCACTGTCGCAGGGGGCCCTGGCAACTCAGGCACTGGGGTAGAAAGGGGCCCTGACAACTCTGGCACTGGGGTGGCAGAGGGCCCAGGCAACTCCGGCACTGGAGTCACAGGGGGCCCCTGCAACTCCAGCATGGAGGTCGCAGGTGGCCCCGGCAACTCCAGGGCTGAGGCCACCGACGACTCCTGCAGCTCCACCGCTGTGGTCTTAGGCAGCTCCAGTGACTCCTGAGGTCTTGTCATGGATGAATCTGCGATCTCCGATGGTGCTTCTACAGGCTGCTCTGGCAATCTTTGCACGTCAGTTGTAGATGACTCTGGAAAATCCATTGTTGATGGGCTTGGTTCAGGGTGCACCTCAGTAGGTGTCTCTGATACTATTGTGAGGGTTTCTGATGGTTCAAGCACTTTTGCTATGGGAAGCTCTACCAGCGGGGTCTTTGATATCTCTGGAGGCATAGTCTCCAAAGATTTCAGCACAGACTTCTGATACTCCATTGACATTGTTACAACGGGCTCAGGTGACTTCAGCACTGCTGTTGACATAGGCACTGGTGCTGCTGCGAAAGAATCCAGAATTGATTTTGTCATTGATGGTTCCAGCATCACTGGCACAGGCTGCTCAGACTGCTCTGAGATTACTGATGTAGATACAACCGACAGTTCTGCAGTTTTTGTAGCTGGCTTCAGAGTCTCTAAAACGTGTGACTCCTGAACCTCCATTGAGACTACTGAAGGTTCTAGCACTAAGGGGGTTTCACTTCCCTCAGAGAAGCCAAATGCTCTTACAGGATGTTCCAGTGCCATTGCTGAAGGTTCAGAATCAAACTTTAAGAAGGAATCAGATTCTAGATCAACATTCCCATCATGATGAGATTTCAGCTTGGACTCAGATTCTTCTGGTTGTCTTTTATATTTTTTTTCTTTTTCTTTCTTCTTTTTCTTCTTTTTGTTTTTGTGCTTTTTATGCTTCTTTGACTTTTTGGTGGGAACTTCATCAGTAGGATCTGTTTGTACAGATACACATCGACTTTTTCTGGAGGCCTCTTTCAAGTCTGAAAATAATGAAAAATTGTCAGTCATTTCCCAAAGTAGATTCATACAAATTGCAACTATTTTCACTTACATGCAGAAACCACAGTACAATTCACCTTACTGTGAATAAAAACTTACAAAATAATTTATTGTCTACAAAGCAATAAACCTGATGGCTTCCATTTTTCAAGTACTTATACAACTGAAGTCTGCATCAAAATAATTCTTGGTGTAACATAAAAACATATTTAGAACTAATTTAATTATGTTTTAAGATGGGATACAGCTCAGTGGAAACAGTGTTTGCTTAGCATGTTCAGAGCCCTGAGTTCAATTTTTACCACTGGCAGAATGAAAAGAAAAATATGTTCCATTAAAATCTAAAGCTATCTTTCCTCAGGAGCAGTGAGATGCATCAATGAGAAAAGATACAGCAAAACCTGATGATCTGAATTTAATTGTCAGGACCCATGTGGTAGAAGAAAACCAACTCTCATGAACTATGAGACTTCCTTCCACAAATGAGGCAACACACACACACACACACACACACACACACACACACACGCTATCTATCTACCCACATGTGGACACAAAAGTAATAATATTTTGAAAATAATTCTTTTCTTAGGCTGGGTATGATGGCATACACCTTTAATCTCAGCATTCTGGAGGCAGAAGCTGGCAGACCTGTGAGTTCTAGGGCAGTCAGAATTACAAACTTGAGGCCCTTTCTCAAAAAAGCAACCCCACACACACAAAAAAACCTCTGTTCTCAAACTATAGTAAGTTATTTTTTGTTTTTGTTTGCTTGTTTTTTGAGACAGAGTTTCTCTATATAGCCCTGGCTGTCTTGGGACTCACTCTGTAGACCAGGCTGGCCTCAATCTCAAAAATCCACCTGCCTCTGCCTCCCAAGTACTGGGATTAAAGGTGTGTGCCACCACTGCCTGGCTTATAGTAAGTTATTTTAAAACAACATCAGTGAATTTTCTTCATATTTTTGTTATTTCAATTCCTACTTAAAAAAAAAAACCCTCTCATTACAGAGTTCGTAAGATTAATGTCCAAAAATGCACAAGATTGTCAATAAAGTCCTAGATGATAGAAAATGCTCTCATTGAATAACTCCTAATATTTTATTCATCCTGTTTATTCAGGAAATGATATGGCACTCATTCTGCAACAGGAGGACTCTGTAAGCCTAAATCAATCCATTGTAGACGAAGGGGCCTTGTCCAAACTATTGACTATTGACATACTGAGCTCCAGGAAGACAAAACAACAAAAAAGTATACCAAGAACCTGTAAGTTTTCAACGAAGTTCAAGTAAATGCTTCTAAATAAGAATGCCTAAACAAATACAATGCAACTACAGAGCTCACTTTTTTTAACTGTCATATTCTGATAAAACCATGTTTCCCTCAACACTGTATTCTTGCAATATACAGCTCTAACATTTCAACTTCCTATTTCAAATAAGACAGTTTACATTACCTCACAACCACATAGGAAAATTTACCCTATAGATTTTAAATATGATAAACCTTAAGGAAATGGCTAGTTAAATATACCAGTGATTCCTACTACAGAAAAAAACAATACCAACACTAAACATCATATCAAAAGAAAATTAATCATTTTCACAGCCTGAAAAGGTAGTTTATACTTAACCAAACAAGACTGCCACTTTCACGATCTAACCAAGACTAGTTATTTTAAACCATGTCTTATGAACTATATTATACATCTAATTCCTACACTTAATAATTTATACTTGTGGTTAATCACAAATTCTTCATTTTTAATCACCCATTAATCAATTCCAAAAAGGAAATGTGCTTCAACCTTACAAATAAGTCAACTTCTAAAAAACAAAATGTAATGTGGTTTAAAACCAGTAGAGAGATAGTTCAAGATACTGCAGCTTACAAAACTAACACTTCGGAGCTAGAACAATATGCTGAAGAGCTCACACTGCTCTCACACAGGAGCACCTACCTGGTGCTCCCAACTGTCCAGACTCAGTTCTGGGGATCTAATGCTCTCTTCCTCTTGCTTTCCTCAGGCACCAACCACACACAAGCTATACATCAACATACTCAACATTCATATATACAATATTCATATATACAGAAATAAAAATTAAGGGGGGGTTATACACCAAGAGCTACTTTTAAAAGGGCTGATATTTACACAATCCTTCAAAGAAAATATTTAAAAAAAAAAAATCCTGGCACTGAGTCACAACAAAATTGAGTGAAACAGAGAGAAAAATCTTACTTTACCAGTAAAACAAGTAAGAACTCCAATGTTCATGTTTGAGTAGACTATTTTCAAGGGAGAAGTTCAACAAGACACTATGAAAAAATTAATCTAAAAACAGTGCAACTAACAAATTTTTCAAGATTTTTGAAACTGACAGAGAGCTTCAACTTACCTGGCTTGTATCGTAGTTCTGTATCTAAGACCCCAGAAAGGACCTCCTCTATCTTCTGCACTATCTCTTCATTTGGGAGACTCCTTGCAGAGGCAGCTGTATCACCTGCCTGGTTTCCTTCAATAGGTGCATTTGTTTCGCCATTCAGCTGGCCTTCACTCCTTCCACTTGACAAGAAAAAAAATTTCAAAACTCATGAATACTGCCATCATATCATAATAAATCAGTAATTCAAAATTAATAATGTAATTAACATAACCTTACATTAAATTATATTACCCATAACCTCATTTTCTATTTCAAACGTTTGTCATTAGTACAGTTTTCAGAACTGTGACAGTTAAAAGAAGTCTTGAAATCAGATTTCGAAGTATGTTTCAAAAATTAAGGTAAGCTAGATAGAAGTGGTGGCACAGGCCTTTAATCCCAGCACTCAGCACTCAGGAGGCAGAGGCAGGAGGGTCTCTGTTGAGCTGAAGACCAGCCTAGTCTACGCTGGGAGTTCTAGGACAACATGGGATACATAGAAAACCCTATCTTAAGGAAAAAGAAAGAAAATTATCATTATTATTACAACAACTTAAAGCTTCCAGTGACCTAAGTATTAACTAGCCAGTTCACACCCACAAAGAGAACCTAGACAACCAAGCACTATGGTAGAAAGTGTGGCCACCATCAAGCCACACTGTGTACTGATTACAAGTCATCCAGGGAAACACCATGGAAAGGGTTACTTGTAGCCTCTTCATGTTCAGACTGTGACTGAAATGCTGTGCATTTTAAAAAGAAAACCATATCTAGTACTTTATACCTATTTTTTTAAAAGTCTGCTTACTTAATATCTGAAATTCAAGAAATTTACACAGAACAAGTGGCAATTCATTTATATTAATAGTAAAATGATCAATAGCTTGTTTTCAGATCACAGGGTCAGAACATCACTGTAGATAAAACAAGGTCATTCATGTAAACATTTTTTACTATTTTTGTGTAAACTTGCAAAAAATTTAAAATGCATTCAGTTTGAATACCTGAATACACATGAACTGCTACCTGCTAACAGTTTTATTAGAGAAACAAAACACTTTAGTGATGAATGACTGGTTTTCTAACACACAACCCTGTTAGGGTAAGAATTAACATTTCTAAGTACTGACTACTGCCACTTTCTATTGTTGTTTCAAATCAAAGGCCTCACTATGTAGCCCTGGCTGAGTTAAACTTAAAAGATCTGCCATATGCTGGGACTAAAGGCATGCACCACCATACCTGGCCTATCACCTTATTTTTAAAATCATGTAATTTTTTTTTTTTTTTTTTTTGGTTTTTCGAGACAGGGTTTCTCTGTGTAGCCCTGGCTGTCCTGGAACTCACTCTGGCCACGCACTCAGAAATCCACCTGTCTCTGCCTCCCAACTGCTGAGATTAATGGTGTGTGCCACCACTCCCCGGCAAAATCATGTAATTTTAACAAGACTCTAAAATCAAGACTGCTATTGTTTCTTTAAATGGAGTAAAAAACTATATACCATAAATTGTGTATTAGTCTCACCACCTATACTGATGAATACATAAGCAAATAGGGAAACAATAGCTCACTGAAGTGGCAAATCTAAAAAATGTTTTTAGATTATGCCATAAAGCATGCTGCTTTTTCTAATGCTCTCAAAAATTATTTTATTTTCTACACATTTATACTTTTTTTTAAGACAGGGTCTCTCTGTTTTGTCTGGCCTGGAACTTACTACTGTAGACCAACTAACTGACAGAAATTTTCCTGCCTCTGCCTCCTGAGCACTAGAATTAAAAGTTTGCTTCAGTCATCTAGGGCTGGGCATGAGGACAATCCAGGCACTGTGAGGCAGAGGCAGAGGCAGAGGCAGGGAGAGCTTTCTCAAAAAATAAAATAAAGAAAATGAAAAAAAAGTCAATGTATAAAAAGTAATTTTCCTTAAAGCTACCAGAATGTTAATTACAATTACTAAAAAGCAGTTAGAATTTTAAGCCATTTTTCTGCCCAACAATATTCTAAAAAGGAATTTATGTAGTTATGAAAAGTGTTCAAATAATTCAGACTTTGAAAGACAAACCTGTTCATAGTATATTATGTCTAAAGCACAATACAAAATGATCACACTAAGAGAAAACATACCAGCAAGGCACTGTGGTACAAGTCTTTTTATCTCAGCAGAGGCAAGTGGGTCGCTGTAAGTTCAAGGCCAACCTGGTCTATAGAGCCAGTTCCAGAACAATCAGAACCACACAAAGAAACCTAGTCACCAACCCCCACCCAACAAAAAAGTAAATACAATCAGTACAAGAGATTGCTTGAGTTTCCGAATGATGGAAGCTGCTGCTTTAATCCCAGCAAAGGCAGGCAGATCCCTATTAGTTCAAGGCCAGCCTGATCTACATAGTGAATTCTAGGTCAGCCACAACTACCTAGTGAGACCCTGTATCAAAAAAACAAAGGTTTTCAGGAAAAGTTATATTCCCTTAGTTTACGTTCTATCTCATTAAAAAAAAAATAGTTGCCAATGTCTCAAAACATTAAAATGCAACACAGTGGATAAAATATTTATATTACTTAAAAAAAATTGTGATGCCACCCATTGATAGATGACAACAGGTCAGTTTCAGCTACAAGGCAAGGTTGCAAGCCATGACATTAGAATCTGTCCCAAAAAAAAAAAAAAAAAAAAAAACAAAACACTATCTTGGAAAAATCAATTTCTAGAATAAAATATTATTAATGTTATTGTATCCATAATCCTAGGTAATTTGGGCATATAGTTTACAACTCTTTATCAGCTGATTGTTCTAACTCATGTATTGCTCTGTTCTCAACTTACACCATTAGTAAAAAAAAAAAAAATGTAAAAAATATTTATCTCTGAATGTTTACTTTTAAGTTATCTTTCCTTCCGTGTTTTAAAAGAAATGGTCGTTTTATACAAAACAACCTTCAAAAGAAAACAATTTAACATGACCCGCACTATTTTCCTGAGTAAACAAGTGAGGAGATCTCTTCAACATGAAATTTTGAGAGCCAAGGCTAATCTCTGAAGTACACTGGCAGTGACAAAATAACAGCACGATGTTCAAATCCGTCCGTTAAGTCGGGGTAGCAAGAAAATTAACAAATCTACACAAAAACTCTACTTTCTACTCAATAAAATTAAGCATCCAGCAGTTTCAAAGCCCCGTTCTATCGTCCTGTCGAATATTTTATCTTGTGTCTTACATGTTTTAGTTTACAACTGTGTAAAGAGTGCTATCCGGTCTAAAGCACAGAGCACTAACTGGGGCACGAATCGTCTAATAAATAGGCTCCGGTGGCCAAACGACCTGAAGCGTACAATAATAAAGAAGTTTTAAGATTACCCAAGAAGCGGCCGTTAGAGACCCTTTCCGGCCATAGACACCGGCCGGCGAAATGCGCGGAGGCGGGGAGGGGGAGGGGAAAGGCGGCGACGGAGGAGGAGCTGGGAAAGGAACTAGGCCCGTCCCTGGTGGACACCGGGCCTCCGAGTAGCTGGAGGGTAGGGGGTGTCCAAACGAGAAAAAGGTGAACAGGTTAACTCGAAGAAAGAAAAGGCGTGTGCGAACACCGCCCCGTGATCTTTCTCGAAAGGAACGAGCGGAGGATGAGGAGGGGGGGGGGAGCCCGGAAAATGGATCCCAGGCCCAGGCGGGGCCGTAGCGGGGCCTGAGCCGAGAAACGACAGCGTCTCCGTGAAAGATGCCACGGAAGGATAGACGAAGCCCTAACAGCCCGCGAGGAGCAGAAAAGTCTGGGAAGCGTTTACCTGGAAAGCTCCTGTTGTATTTCCCGGAATTTACTGACCACGAAAGACCTAAAAACCTGCTCGATGTCGGCCGCCATGGCGTCCGCTCCGTTCTCTCAACTCCTCCTCGCTAGTCCTCCAGGCTCCCAGCATGCCTCGGGAGGAGGCGCAGCGGCCAATTCCTTTTACCCCTTTCCTTATTGGCTCGTGGGGGAGCGTCCGCACGGGCTCGCTCCACCCACGAGCCAATCAGCGAGCACCGGCCCGCTCTCCTCCGCTGTTTCTGAGCCGCCGGGGTAGAGGTGCTGACGTTTGCGCCGCGCACGAACTAGTCCGCCATGTTAGTGTTTGACGCAGGCGCCATTACAGGAGAAGTCGCTCCCGAGACAGTTCGGCTGTTGGTGCCCTCAGCCTGAGGGGACTTCTGAGAGGCTTTCTGTAGCGAGTAAATGCCTGAGATTAGAGGCCATGAAAAAAATGGAACAAGAAAGGCCTCAGATTGTCTGGCACGGAGCTTTAACGTGTTTTTTGCAAGCGCCAAGTTTACTTGGGTCAGGAAGACGTGCATGAGAAAGAAATCCCCATCCCCACTGTGGAGTGGAAAGGCACAATTCCCATTCTGTCTCGGTACTTCCTATAACCGGGCTCACGTATTTTTAGCAAAGGCTGGAGCGTCTGAGCGACCTGCGTTCTAAACGGGGTGCACTAGGACTCGTCCGGAGTCCAGCCCCAGCCGCTCCGCCCTGGCGCTGGGTTAGCAGCCACACTTAGGTAGCCATGGCTCTGCCCCCAGTGCAAGAGGTTCTGGGGTAAACAAGAACCTTATGTGGCACCCCCAGACAAGCATTAGCTTTAATCGCCGTCCCCAGGATTCTGAGCCAGGCTAGAAAGCAGGCTCCGACCGCACCCTAGGGCGGGAGGAACCCCCACGGATCGCCTCGCGGGCGGGGACCCAGGTGGGCCGGCCAATAAGCAGCAGAGCCCTTCAGGGGCGGGGCAGAGGCCGGAGCGCGCTGGATTCCCCGGGCCAACTTCCGGCGGGTGCGAGTGGCGGGTGCGAGTGGGAGCTGCGTGGCGGGGCTTGCAGGTGCGTGAATCCCTTAGTTTTTAAGATGATGCGTGGACCGCGTTTATGTTTTGACCTGTGGGTTGAACTTCGGCGACCGGGGCTACTACTGAAACTGGTGTGGCTGGCGAAAAGGCCACGTGCTTTGCACGGCCTTGACGGAGGTCGGCCTGGTCCATCTTTCCAGCTTTCTAATTCTGAGGCCGGGTTTCTGTGTATCTCTGCCTTTTAAAGACAGACCCTATACACCGATGGCTTTTTATCGGCTCTGGTTTTAGCATTGTCACTAACCGTTTACCTGGACCACTTTGGTATTTGGGTTCTACTTTTTTTTTTTTTTTGGTTTTTCGAGACAGGATTTCTCTGTGTAGTTCTGGCTGTCCCGGAACTCACTCTGTAGACCAGGCTGGCCTCGAACTCAGAAATCCGCCTGCCTCTGCCTCCCAAGTGCTGGGATTAAAGGCGTGCGCCACCACCGCCCGGCTGGGTTCTACTTTTTTAAAACAAATATTTGGAAGTGTTTTTACCCGATTCTTTTATTCTCTTCTTACCTGGCTCTTATTCTCGCTATAAAATGCCTGCTAGTTAACTGACACCCAAGAAGTTACAAAAATCCGGATGTCCCGGCTAGTAAGGCCCTGTTTACACCGGAGCCCAGGCACCCAGCCTCTCCTGGTGAAGAGACTAGTACTGCTGTTTCACAAATTTTGAATTGTAAATGAAAATTGTCTTCTTGCACTGCTGTTCTTATACAAGTTAGATATAAAGGTCTAATGGCTTAAGCTATTTCTAAGAAAGTGACACATAGAATTGAACTAAAGTCTATTTCATGTGTAGGAGTGTTGTCCCTTACATGTATGTTTGTACCCACGTGCACACAATGAACGCCCCCAAAGAAGCCGGAAGAAGCCGTTCAGTCTCTGGACTCTGAGTTAGGATGTTTGTGAGCCACCTTGTGGGTGCTGAGAGACTAAACCCCAGCCCTCTGCAAGAGTACTAAGTAAGTGTCCTTAACCGATGGGCTACTTTGCCAGTCGGCTTGGTTTTTCTTTAAATATGTAATCCCAAAATAAAGTATCAGTTTAAGGGTTACAGATTTCAGGGTTTTTTTTTCTGTAACCATCTTCTGCATAATATCTTTGCCCCCTCCTTTTTTTTGTTCGAGAATTTGGACACAAGTCTTCTATTCTAAGCAATAGATATCAATTAGGTATATGAAGAAATATAACAAACTAGCATTTCCTATTTCTGAGAACTTTGTAGTATACAGTATTTTAATGTCATCTCAGTTAATTCTTTTTTTTATTAAGAATTATTTATTTTATGTATAGGAGTACACTGTAACTGTCCTCAGACACACCAGAAGAAGGCATCAGATCCTATTACAGATGGTTGTAAGCCACCATATAGTTGCTGGGTATTGAACTCAGGACCTCTGGAGGACTGAGCCATCTCTCCAGCCACCACCACCCCAGCTAAACTTTAACAAATGCCTGTATTCAAGTGAGATGAGTTAGTGCTTAATTTTGATTTCTCTAACACATTTCCAATCCAGAACCTGCCATAAAATCTCAAATCATAAACTTGCAAGCTGTGGACAATGAACAAATGATTGGGCCACTTGTTTTTGTACAGACACCAAACAAAAATGGTGAGAGGAGCCAGATGTGGTGGCACACACTTTCTCAGCACTAGGGAGGCAGAGGGCAGAGGATCTCTCTGAAGCCTGAGACCTGCATAGCAAGGTTTCAGTCAGCAGGGATACAGATACAGAGGAAAAGAAAATGTTGAAGGAAAACTGGTTTTAGTACATATGGAGTTGAAGTTACAGTGCCCAAAATACTCTTAGTTTGTTATGTCCCTCCTGTTCATAATGGCTTCCTGTTGTTTAGAGCTCACTGATTACATAAATTGATCTTCTGGGTGATACACATTTATGAAGGGACAGTACATCAATGTCGCGTCAACATTACAATACAAACTCCATAATTTGGACAGTGCACAGATGGCCCTCAAATATATTTATTTCCTGGCCCTTGACAGAGAAATTGTGTACTGTTAATGCTTGTTCTCTGTACCATATCAAGGTTTAAATTTGGGTATAAATTTGAAACATCCAACATTAGGTATAATGACACATGCCTGGTGTCCCAGCTGCTTGGAAGACTGAGGACAGAGAATCTTTTTTTTTCTTCTTGCCTTCTTTTTTTGGGGGTGGGGGGGCAGCTTTTGGAGACAGGGTTTCTCTGCAGTTCTTGCTGTCATAGAGCTCACTCTGTAGTTAAGACTGCCCCCAAACTCAGAGATCCTCCTGCCTCTCCCTCCTGAGTGCTGGGATTAGAGTGTGCCAACACACACTAGCACAAGAGACTCTTGAGCTCAGGAATTCAGGTCTAGGGTAAGCAAAGTAGCAGGCCCCCATCTCCTGAATAAATAAGTAAATATCAAAACCCATTTTCTTGCTAAGGGTTAATGATTATCAGATCTCACAGAAGAGAAGGAATGTTGGTAGATTATTTCTCAGATAAGGTGCTATATTAGTGTACAGGTTTTTGATTGGTTGGTTGGGTTTACTGTTATAATATTACAGATTGGGTAAGTTACAATGAAAAGATTTGTGTAGGCTTATGGTTATGGAGGTGTTTGGTCTTTGTCAGTGGGTCTACCTCCTTAGCACATGCCCACTTTTCCTGTGATGATAGTCGTATCTTTCCAATTCTAATCTCCAGGTTTTGAGGGGGTTTTTTTTCTGATTTTTTTTTTAGTTTTTTTATTTTATGAGTATTTTTCCTGCATTTATGTGTACCTTGTGTGCCTTGTGCCTAAGGAAGTCATTGAAGAAGGTCAGGTCCCCTGGATCTGGAGTTACAAACCATACAAATGTTAGGAACTGAACTCAAGTCCTCTGGAAGAGCAACCTGAGCCATCTCTCTAGCTCTTGGGTTTTGTTTGTTTGTTTGTTTGTTTGTTTGTTTGTTTGTTTTTGAGACACTCTTTCTTGGTGTACCCGGGGCTGTCCTAGAAGTTCCTCTGTAAAGAAAACTGGCCTCAAACTCAGATCCACCTACCTCTGCCTCCCAAGAGCTGGGATCCAAAGGCTTGCACCAGCATGTCCTGCCATAAATCCCAATTTCTAAATAATGAATCTCTGGATGAAAATGTCACTTGTATGAGAACAAGTGAAAACGCTATCTATAAATTATAATTTGTATAGCCAGGCACGGTACTACCTTTCTGTATCCCAGCACTTGGAAGCTGGCTAAAACAGGGGCTTTGCCATGAGTTTGAGACTAGCCTGCACAACACAGCATGGCTTTCTCACAACATAAAGAACAGCTGGAGACACAGCTCAGCAGTTACGAGCACTGACCACTCTTCTAGGGGTCTGGGCTTTGATTACCAGCAACCACACCATAGCTAACAATCACCTATAATATAACACCAGTTCCAGGGGATCCAACAATCTCTTCTGGCCTCCATGGACACCCAGCTCAGCTATGGTGCACAGGCATACATGCAGACAAAACACCAGTACACATAACAATTAATACAACACCACCAAAAAAGAGAAATTGTTTTTCGAAATACATGTATTCTAAAAAGTCAACTACATTTTTCTTTCTGCAGGTTTCATTTTGCTTCTGAATCCCTGCTTCGGAGACAGCAATGGCAGCCCGCGTTCTTGTAATTGGTAGTGGAGGAAGGGAACATACCCTGGCCTGGAAACTCGCACAGTCCCCTCATGTCAAACAAGTGTTGGTTGCCCCAGGAAATGCAGGCACCGCTTGCACTGGGAAGATCTCCAATGCTGGTAATTATGTTTCAAAATGGGGGGTGGTGGTTAATATGTGTTGATAATAAACGATAGCTCACCTGTGTCCTTTAATAAAGTGTATTTCTATTTAAGTTTGAATGCGTTCTAAGTTTACATTTTTAAGGTAGTAACATGAATTCTCACTGTATGAGGTAAACAGAGAGTAGAGTGTTTTCAGCCTTATGAATCACAGTGATTGAAAAGGCAACAAGTGCACCGCATAGATCGAAGCCATTTTATGTGAATGGAAGCTTGGATGGGACTGTCAAATGTGGGTTCAGGACCCATTAGTGACCAGTTCAGAAACTACATTAAACAGTTTGCAGGATGTAGGATAAAACCCAAGCTCCTCATCTTACCCTTACAAAGACCTGTCTCATTTCCCCTTGCTTGCACAATAGCCCATCATATTTACAGAGAGAATTAGAGGCAAGATGGAAATAATAAGAAAATACCTCCTTCTCGGAGCTGCTTTGTCTAGAGACAAGGTGTTGTGTGTACAATTGGGGTTGTAGGGACCCACCCATCAGAGTCACCCAGGATAGTCATAAATTAACTGCCATTTGCAGCAGCTGAGGGGAGGTGTGCCCTCACTTGTTGCCTCTGCTGTACTGATCTACTTAATCCAACTGGGCCCAGCTGTGTGTGGATGGAGATCCTGGCCTTCTCTAGACATGGAGAAGAGTTTTCTTACATAGAATCATTGCCTTCTTTGGCCATGATTTAAACAGCTCTACCTCAAAGGCCCTTCCTGACCCCACCAAAACTAGCCTCCCAGTTTGCCTCAGAGCAGATTTGCTTAATCTGAACATATTTGCTATTGCTTATGTATTTACTAATATTCATGACTATATTATTAATATTCCAAGATTAAGGATCCTAGTTTGTTGTAACATCTTGATCACAGGGCTTACCACAGTACCTAATACTTACTGGATTTTTCAATAAACTTTGACATTTAAAAGACAAGTTTCTGAGTGTATTGTCTGAGTTTGTCTATTTACTCTGTAACCTGTACTGGGACAGGGCAGTCACATTATAATATTGGGAGTCACTCAACTTCTACTTCTACTTACTACAGCTAGTGCTTGGTTTATTTTGTTAACTGGGGGTATTTTTGCACATGCACATTTATATTTTCTGCTTATAGCTGTCTCCGTCAATGATCACACTGCTCTTGCCCAGTTCTGCAAAGATGAAAAGATTGAGCTCGTAGTTGTTGGACCGGAGGCCCCTCTGGCTGCAGGTAAAACTTTATCTCTCATTGATACAATGATGCCCACAGAAGTTTAGAGATCATTGCATCTGAATCACTTGATGAGGATTTGTAATAAGATACAAATAATTAGAAGAGGGGCTTTCAACCCTTAAGGTTTAATCTAATAATTCATATTCAGCCTAAATCCATAGAGTCCCTGGACCATCTGGATGTCTGTTTGCTTCTGTAGGACTTGCTGGGGACCTGACTTCTGCGGGAGTGCCATGCTTTGGCCCCACAGCCCAAGCAGCTCAATTAGAGTCCAGCAAAAAGTTTGCCAAGGAGTTTATGGACCGACATGGAATCCCAACTGCACAGTGGAGAGCGTTCACCGACCCTGAAGATGCCTGCAGCTTTATCACGAGGTGAGAAGAAGGCGACTTTAAAGGGCAGAGTTTTATAATGGCACCTAAATGTAAAGTCACTTTCCTGTTAAAAACACAATGCTTAGGCTAGGACAGTGGTAGCGCATGCCTTTAATCCCAGCATTTGGGAGGCAGAGGCAAGTGAATCTCTTTGAGTTTGAGGCCAGCCTGGTCTACAGAGTGAGTTTCAAGACAGCAAGGGCTACACAGAGAAAAAAAAAAGAATAAAAAATGTTTACTTCTTAGGTTTTGACAAGTTTATATTGAATTAATTATGGAAAGATACTCTTTTTTTTTTAAAGGTTTTTCGAGACAGGGTTTCTCTATGTAGTCCTGGCTGTCCTGGAACTCACTCTGTAGACCAGGCTGGCCTCGAACTCAGAAATCCGCCTGCCTCTGCCTCCCAAGTACTGGGATTAAAGGCGTGTGCCACCACCCCCCGACTGGAAATATACTCTCAATAAAATAACTTATTTCATTTTTCAACACTAAACAAGATGGGATTCTCCAGCATTTGAGAGATAAAAGCTGAAGGATCAGTTCAAAGCCAGCCTGGGCTACATGGATCCAGTTTCAAACCAAAAGGAGAAGAAGAAGAAGCCTAGGATTCTCTGCATGCTTCTCTTGAATAATCTTGTAGATAGTATGCTGATGTCTTTACTACTGAGAAATCTCTAAGAGGAAATACATATTGTCCTGCAACCCAGAAACACAGTGATTGGTTACAGCAACAGCATGATCTTGAACTAATGGCAGTCCTCCTGCTTCAGCTTCCTAAGTGCTAGGATAGTAGGTGTGATCCACCATACCCAGCAGAGTTACTGAATTTGTAAGGTTTGGTTTTTGGTTTTTTAAGGTCTATTTCTTTTTCGTGTATGGCTATGTTCCCTGCATGAATGGCCTCGAGTCCATAAAGGTGAGGTGAGGGCTTAGCTGCCCCAGGTCTGGAGTTCTGAGCCACCATGTTGGTGCTGGGATGGAGCCTGAGTCCATCGGGTACCCTTCCCTCCTACATGTGGAAGGCGTTGAGTACTCTGTGAATGCATGCCTTCTCCCCATTTGTTCTTCCCTCCAGACACCCAGTGTGTTTTCCTTTCAGTTGTGTATATGTGTGTGTGTGTGTGTGTGTGTGTGTGTGTGTGTACAACTCGACACTTTTATCAGACTGTAGCTTGTAAGAATCATTTCTCGGGGCTGGTGAGATGGCTCAGCGGTTAAGAGCACAAACTGCTCTTCCAGAGGTCCTGAGTTCAAATCCCAGCAACCACATGGTGGCTCACAACCATCTATAAAGAGATTGGATGCCCTCTTCTGGTGTGTCTGAAGACAGCTACAGTGTACTCATAATAAAATAAATAAATACATCTTTAAAAAAAAAAAAAAAAGAATCATTTCTCTTTCCACCATGTGGGTTCCAGCCACCCTGCTGACCCTAGTTCATTCTTTATTCATTCTTCATCCTGCAAGGCTCTTTCCAGGGGTTGTGGGCAAGGGAGGACTAAATGTGTAGTCCTGGCCGTCACTCTCTAGACCAGGCTGACCTCAAACTCAAGAGATTCACCTGCCTCTGCCTCCCAAATGCTGGGATCAAAGATGTGCGCCATCACCGCCCGGCTCCTACAGAGTCTCTTAACCACTGACTATTGTTACCCTGTACTCATACGCCTTGGGTAAGTGACAGCTTTGTTACTTACTTTGGGTAAGCCTCTTTCCAGATCTCCAGCCTACTCCATTGCTTTGTGTGTTCTAGAAATGGTCTGTGGGTGTCTGCCAGTATTAGTCTCCTACAGCAGTATCCCTTATGTAAGTGAGTGGCTTTGCTTTGTATCTTAAGGATTATTTCATGTCTGTTCTACAGATCTGCTTATTTTTTTCAATGATTCTTCCTTATGTGACCTCGCTATATGTGGAAATAAGGCAAAATTGTGCATGCTTTATGATCAGAATTACAAAGGAATGAATATAAAAAAAATTTTTTTGGCAAGAAGTACCATGATGCTGGAGTACTCTTTCTGTGTCCCTTTCAATTCTGCTGAAACATACTGTTAAAAATCACAGAACACTAGCTGTTTGCTCCCCTGTCTTCACAGTGCGAACTTTCCTGCTTTGGTTGTGAAGGCCAGTGGCCTTGCAGCAGGGAAGGGGGTGATTGTGGCAAAGAGCAAAGCAGAAGCCTGCAAAGCTGTACAGGAGATCATGCAGGTAGGTGGGTGCTCCTGAAAGCTCCTCTGTACAGTGGATAGATGCTGCAGGTTTTCAGAGTGGGCCTCAGAATGTACCAAGCACTGGAAAGTTAGCTCTCCCTGTGCTATGTGTTACCCATGTTTACAAACTGGCACGTCCTGAGCTGCACCAACTTCTGAACCATGACTAAGAGTCTGCTACTGAAAGGTAGAAGGTCTTTGGCCTATGGGGCTTACAGATCATTCTCCTAGTCCAAGAGAACAAAAGCGTTTGTCTGGTGTGTTCCAAGTCTTAGAAGTGGAGCAGTGGGTGGATACAATGTTTCCTTCATAATCTACATTGATAATTATGACTTAACCTCTTAGAGAAATCTATTTTCACATACTCGGTTTTGTCTAATTTATGTGGACAAAGCTATGTGGTCATCTTCAAGAATAAGGATGAAGTGATGATTATGAAATTGTGTCAGCAAACTGAGAGATGTGTTCGTCACATCTGTACAGTGTGAGCTCTGCCTGCTGTCACAGGAAAGACCAGAAAAATCTGTGTTAAGTCTTGAGACAAGAAAGAATTCTGGGCCGGGCGGTGGTGGCACACGCCTTTAATCCCAGCACTTGGGAGGCAGAGGCAGGCGGATTTCTGAGTTCGAGGCCAGCCTGGTCTACAGAGTGAGTTCCAGGACAGCCCGGGCTACACAGAGAAACCCTGTCTCGAAAAACCAAAAAAAAAAGAAAAGAAAAGAAAGAAAGAATTCTGATGCTTTGTGTATTTCATAACTCAAATGGAAACAGTTCTATAAGTCAACTTGGTAAATATTAAAAGCTTTAAAATTTACAAGGCCTTTAAATTTTCCAATTAGGAGAAGTCTTTTGGAGCAGCTGGTGAAACGGTTGTTGTGGAAGAGCTTCTGGAAGGGGAGGAAGTGTCTGTATGTACAGCCATCTCTGCCTTTAACACATCCCTACTCCCCTCAAAAAACCTTACTTAACTCTGGCTGCTCCCTGTGAGAACATGAGCCCAGCAGTTTCAGAGGACGTGCACACTTCAATTCAGATGAGACAATGCGTGTGTTCTCTCTTAACCGTCCCCTACAGCAGTGGTTCTCGGCCTCCATATGCTGTGACCCTTTTATGTTGTGGTGATCCCCAAACATAAAATTTTTTTTTTGCTACTTCCTAACTGTGAGGTTGTTGCTGATAACGAATTGCAATGTAAATGACATGCAGCATATCTGATATGTGACCCCTTTCAGGGGTCATGACCCACAGGTTGAGAACCACTGGTATAGATGTTGGTGGGTACACTTGGACTTAACTCACACTATGGAGGTTCTAAACATTCATGGTCTTTGTTTCACATACACAGCACGTGCACCTTAAATATAGTAGGAGTGCTGGTGGTCTCAACAGTGGGAAGGTTGATCTTTGTCTTAGGTAAAACCTCCATTTAAGTTGGATATCCATGGTCTTCTGGCTCCAGCCATCTGACTTAGGAATTAATTTTTGACTGCTTTCTTCAGAAATGAAACCTTGTCCTCTCAGAAGAGTCCTGTATGACTTTTTGACATTTAGTTTAACCTGACTGGACTGACTTATTGTCTCCACAGTGCCTGTGCTTCACTGATGGGAAGACAGTGGCCCCAATGCCCCCAGCACAAGACCATAAGCGATTGCAGGATGGAGACCAGGGCCCCAACACAGGGGGAATGGGAGCCTACTGCCCAGCCCCTCAGGTACTGTGCGCTCGCTGGCCCGCCTGCAGTCTGACTCTGGACCAATCCGCTTCTGAGGGCCTGAGAGCAACTTACAACCATCCAGAGCATGGCACACACCTTAAATCCCAGCACTTGGGAGGCAAAAAGGGTGGGTCTCTGAGTACAAGGCCAGCCAGGGCTACATAGGAAGGCTCTGTCTCAACAAACAAACAAACAGCAAAAGCAAGCAAGCATTTTTTATAGACTTTGGTAATAGTGATCTTGAGACAACTGTCTGTAACCCTTATTTCCTCAGTTAAATTTACTAACTCCTATCCATAGGTATGTAGGCTTAGAATTGTGGATAGAATGTACTAGGAGGATTCCTGAGGAACATGAGGAGGGGAGAGGAGAAAACTTAATTTTAGCATGGTGTCTGGGGAAAAGTGAGCTACTTTTAGCCCTGCTGAGGTGAGACAGTGACTGCCACCGACCTCGACTGGGTGGAGGTAGGCGGGGCCATGCTTGGATCTTTACAATTGATGAAAAGTGAGAGTAGACACTGACTCGCCATTGCTGAGGGACTCCTGGTTAGTTCCTTTTCTTGCCACCAATGTGTCCTTGATTATGAAACTGTTTATCTCCTGGAGATCTGTTCTGTAAAGATACAGGCCATTGTGAGGGTTTGGTTTTGTTGTTTAGTTTTTAGACAGGTCCCTCTATTGGCCTGGCTGGCATGGAACTCTTTATGTAGACCAGGCTGGTCTCAAACTCACAATATGCCTGCCCTTGCCTCCCAGGTATTAGGATTAATGACATACACCTCCACGGCTAGCCAAACAAAAGTTACATTTAAATGTTTCTGTGTGTTCCCTAGGTTTCTAAGGATTTGTTAGTAAAAATTAAAAACACTATTCTTCAGAGAACAGTAGACGGCATGCAGCAGGAGGGAGCGCCGTACACAGGTAAGCAGGTTGACACAGAGCTTGACGGTAACTGTCTGCTCTGCCGGAATGAATTGTCTTTTCTACAGTTGTAAGCCCATTGAGATGTCTAGTGTCAGAAGCTTGTACACTCTGGGGCTAGAGTTGAAGCTCAGCTGATAAAGCCTGAGTCTGGCATGGCTGAGGCCCTGGGTTCTAGCTGTACTACCATAGATCAGGTATGGTAGAACACACCTGCAATCCCAGCACCTGGGAGGTAGAAGCATCAGAAGTTCAAGGCTATCCTCAACCTCAAAATGAGCTCAAGGCCAGCCCGAGGTACATGAGACTTTATCTCTAAACAATTCATATTCTAGGTCTTATAGTCATAATGCACTCTTGTAGTTATGCCTTTACAGATTGATTTCCTTTCTTTTTTTTCTTTTTTCTTTTTTTTTTTTTTTTAAATAAAGGAATTCTTTATGCTGGCATAATGCTGACCAAAGATGGCCCAAAAGTTTTGGAGTTTAATTGCCGTTTTGGTGATCCAGAATGCCAGGTGGGTAATGATACATAAAATCCTGCCTGCTGTGGTGGTGCATGTCTTTAATCCTAACGCTTAGGGGGCAGAGGCAGATGGATCTCTTGAGTTTGAGGCCAGCCTGTTCAGCACAGTGAGTTCCAGACGACAGGGCTATAGAAAGAGACTTGACAATGATGGTGGTAATAATAACACCAGCAGCAGTAGCAGTATCAACAGCTGCTGATTAGAGGGAAAGCACTGTTTTTTCTCACTGCGTTCCAGTGCTGAACAGGCACTGTTGAGAAATGTGTCAGTCAGTGTGCCCGAGAGTGAGATGGGGACAGTGGAGAAGGGAGGCTGTGGAAAGTTTATCTCATCTACCTCCTGACTCTGTTCTTCCAGGTCATCCTCCCACTTCTTAAAAGTGACCTTTATGAAGTCATTCAGGCCACCTTAGATGGCCTGCTGAGCACGTCTCTGCCTGTTTGGCTAGAAAACCACAGTGCCGTAACTGTTGTCATGGCTAGTGAAGGGTACCCTGGAGCCTACACCAAAGGCGTGGAGATAACAGGTGAGGAGCAACGGGCAAGAGGTTAGCCACAGTGAGTGCTGTTCACAGCCTTTCCCGCTCCAGGAGATGTGATCGACCTGGTCAGGCTTCCAGTGTGATCCCCTTGCAGCCCGCACCTCCACCTTCCCAGAGCCAGGGTGGTGGACCGTGTGAGAGTCGGCATTGTTAGCATGAACGAGTGAGATTTTAAACACACAAGCTCTGCTTTATGCGGGTACAGTGTGCCAGGGAATAACTTCTGTGGCAGGATTCAAAGTGTGAAAGGCCTAGTACACACACACCCACACACTTTTTTTTTAACAGGCTGTAGGTTATCTGGTTAAATGGTGTTAAGTCTGTTTATAAATGAAAACAAAGTGCCAGGAAAGTTTTGCCATCCAGCCACAAACCTCTGTGGTCCCCAGCGTGCTGTAGTGCAGCCATGGTAGTACTCAGATGGTGTGTTTGATTCAAGAACTATGTTTATTATCCTACCCAGCAAAGAAAGCAAGAAGTCTGTCACCCTGTGGTCTCACACACTCAGGAATTACATGCTTTTGGGTGGGAACAGAAAGATGAGATTGAACCAAGAGCCTTTGTGTTGATGAAATTTCTCCTCAGACTGGGGCTGAGAAGTGTGATAGCAATTCCAGTAACAGAGTTGGACACTATCAGCAGGCATGAAGTAGTTTGTGCTAGGTGGCACTGTGCAGTCAAACACTCAGAGAGACCTCGGTTAGCACATTATCACACCAAGTGGGGACAGGAGACAGATATGGAGGTGAGAGAGGGTTATCTTTATGTAACTAGCTGTTTCACAGTTAAAGAAGTAGTGTAGTTATCTTTGAAACCGCTTGTGAAGAAAAACTAACCATACCTTTAAGCTTCGACCACTTAGTTATTTTTCCCCTCCCTCGTTGAAACTATACTTGTGTTCTTGTTTTTTTCTCACTCCCCAGAAACTAGAATTTTTAAAATAGGACTGTCTTAGTCAGGGTTTCTATTCCTACACAAACATTACCAAGAAGCAAGTTGGGGAGGAAAGGGTTTATTCAGCTTACACTTCCACATTGCTGTTCATCACCAAAGGAAGTCAGGACTGGAACTCAAGCAGGGCAGGAAGCAGGAGCTGATGCAGAGGCCATGGAGGGATGTTACTGGCTTGCTCAGATTGCTTTTTTTTTTCCGCGCCAGGGTTTCTCTGTGTAGCCCTGGCTGTCCCGGAACTCACTCTGTAGACCAGGCTTGCCTCGAACTCAGAAATCCGCCTGCCTCTGCCTCCCAAGTGCTGGGATTAAAGGCGTGCGCCACCACCGCCCGGCTTCAGATTGCTTTCTTATAGAACCCAATACTACCAGCCCAGGGATGACACCACCCACAATGGGCTGGGCCCTCCCACCCTTGATCACTAATTGAGAAAATGCCTTACAGTTGGATCTCATGGAGGCATTTCCTCAAGGGAGGCTCCTTTCTCTGTGATAACTCCAACTCGTGTCAAGTTGACACACAAAACCGGCCAGGACCGTAGCACAGAATGAAATGTTATTTTAAAATCTCTGTTGTAGAGCATGTCTTCAGTCCTGGGACTTCGGAGGCAGAGACAGGAAGATCACTGAGTTTGAGGCCAGCATGGTCTACATAGTGAAGATCCTGTCTCAAAAAAAGAAGAAACAAGCAACAGTTTTTCACTGTGCTCTTTTCCAGGGTTTGCTGAGGCCCAGGCTTTAGGACTGCAGGTCTTCCATGCAGGCACTGCTCTTAAAGACGGCAAAGTGGTGACCAGCGGGGGCAGAGTCCTCACCGTGACAGCTGTCCAAGAAAATCTCATGTCAGCCCTTCATGAGGCCAGAAAAGGACTCGACGCTCTAAAGTTTGAGGGAGCCGTTTATAGAAAGGACATTGGCTTCCGTGCTGTGGCCTTCCTCCAGCGGCCCAGGTAAAGACTCCCTCGGAGATGGTCAGGCACAGGTTCAGAACTGGCCCCTGGCTGGGAGGAAACTCAGTCTGTGTTTGCTGCTTGTGGAACTGACTGGACCTTCATTTATATTTTGATTGAAATCTAAACTAGTTCTAGGCTGAGATAGGAAGGGCATCTCAAATTCAAGGACAGTCTACAGTAAGAGTTTATATATCACCCATAACAACAAAAAGAAATGATCAAAGTAATATTTGAATAAATAATGAAAAATCGTCTTGGCAGTTCCTTATTTTTGAAAAGTTTGTCAAGACACTAAAGATGGTCACTCCTTGAGTTACTACATAAATGTTTGGAGCTTGATCACAGTCCCTACTTTGTCCCTTTACTACCTGAGTGGTTTTAATCTCTTACTGGTTCAATTAACATCAATAAATAAACTGTTGGTTGCCACATGAGTGTTTTGATTTTTTTTTTATTTTTTATTTTTTTAGAATATCACATATCACACTGGGCAGTGGTGACACACGCCTTTAATCATAGTACTTGGGAGGCAGAGGCAGGGGGATCTGAGTTCAAGGCTAGCCTGAGTGTTCCAGGACAGCCAGAGCTATACACAGAGAAACCCTGTCTCAAGAAAAGAGAAAAAAGAATATCACATTGCCTTTCATTAAGTTCTTCAGTGGGTGTATGTATGTGTATCGCATGTGCCTGTTGTCCTCAGATCAGAAGAGGGCATCAGGTCCCATAGAGCTGGGTTTAGAGATGATTATGAGCCAACATATAGGTGCTAGAACCAAACCCTGATCATCGGCAAGACCAACAAGTGCTCTTAATCACTGAACCATCTCTCAAAACCTATGCCCTTAGCAAAAGATAAGTTTTAAAAACCCTTTTATTAAAATACTACACTTAAAATACTGTGCCAAAGTTTCCCCTTTTTAAAATTTAAAATACCAAGAAATGGAAATTCTCTACCTTAGGAGGCTGAAGTTCAATTTGTTTTTTCCTTTGGTTTGGTTTGCCTTTTTCTTTTTAAATGGAGTCTCATTATGACACCCTGGCTGGCCTGGAACTCACAGAGATCTGATGGCCCGAGCCACTATGCCTAGCAAGGGACTTAAATCCTAACTGTAGCAAACAAGATGTTCCCTTTAGGGCTGCGTATCCTGTGAGTGGCCCTGGACTGCAGGCGGGGAGTTGCCTGGCAGCCTTCCCAGGGGCCCAGCAGCTTGGCTTTAATAAAACATTTCTTCATCTGTCCCTGTATCCCAGAAGCCAGAGTCTCTTTTGCAAGGGAAGACAAATGAATTCACAGTGCCATTCCCAAACTTGATTTCTGTCATGCTTTTCTAAAGCAGCGTGCAATGGTGTTTCTAGTGCCCTCAGCTATGAGAAGACTAGCAGATCAGAATACTGCGACAGTAAGAACGCATTTTGCATTTTAAGGATATTTTTACAGAATTCTTAACAATCCTAATTACATTTTTTAAAATTTTTTAAAATGTATTTTATGTATATGAGTTCTATCTGCATGTATACCTGTGTTCCAGAAGAGAGCACCAGATCCCATTACAGATGGTCGTGAGCCACCATGTAGGAATTAACCTCATGACCTCTAGAAGAGCAGTCAGTGTTTTTAACCACTGAGCCATCTCTCCAGTTCCCTAATTCCATTTTTTTTTTTTTTAATTTGGTTCTGGCATTTTGTTTCTATTCACACTGGAGTTAACCTGAGAGTAGCTGTCGTAAAATATTCTTCTCAAAAGTGGTTCTTGTGTGTCATGTCAGCCCTGGGGAGGCCGAGGCTGAAGTATTGGGAGTTTGCTACAGAGAACCAGTAGACTAGTGGTCTGTCTGCCAGGGACAGTCAGATGGAGAGCGGCTCAGGGAGGAAAGATGGCTAGTAACCACAGCTGCATGAAATTGTTCACTCAGTTGAACAAGACTTAAAAACGTCTAAGATGCTCAAATCTTTATCTCTGTCCTATTTTTTTCCATTCGTCCTGTATCACAACTTAGAAAAAAATTCAAATCAGGTGTGGTAACGCACACCCGTTAACTCCTACACTCGGCAAGTGGCGGGAGAAAGACTGAAAATCCGAGGTCACGCTCAACTGCAGAGCAAGTTTGAAGCCCACCTGTCTCCAAAATTCGTTTATTTTTAAAAAATAGTATATTACCTCTGCAAGATACACTTGATCAAGTAAAGGCTCTTCTCAGTATAGGCAGCGCAGTCAGATCAGCTGGCACGGATGCTAAGTACACATCATTCCCAGCTCCACTCTGGAGTCCGGTGGGTGCAGGCACCGGCTTACAACATTGTGAGCACCTTAGTGGATGTGAAAGCCAAATGTCTTCTGCTACTTTTTCCCTTCATGAGTGACTGTGTGTGTGTGTGTGCACGTTCGCACGTGTGATCTATTTTTCCACCTTACCGATACTTTGAGAAAGGGTCTCAATCAACCTCAGTTCCCTGGTTTGGCTAGCCTCTGTATAAGCCAGCTTGTTTTGGGAACCCCGCATCTCCACTTTGCCAGACAGGAATTACAGACAGGCAGCGTATCCATCCAGGATCCCTAGGGCAAGTTCTTTAACCGCTGAGCCATTTCCCTAGCCCTTAAGTTTTTGTAGATGAGAATAATTTTCCCTGATGGGGTGGTAGTACGCGCCTTTAATCCCCGCAGAAGCAAGCAGATCTCTGTGAGTTCCAGGACAGATGGTCTTCATAAAGAGACCTTCTCAAATAATATTTTCTGCTGGCATTAAAGTGCTATCTTCATTTTCCTTTCCCTAGGGGCCTGACTTACAAGGACTCTGGAGTAGACATTGCAGCCGGAAATATGCTGGTTAAGAAAATTCAGCCTTTAGCAAAAGCCACCTCCAGACCAGGTAAATTAGACCCTGTACCCTGCTAATAAATAGATCGATGGCATTGTGAATTGATTTGGGCCTTACATTGAGCCAGCCGAGGGAAGTTTTTCAAATTATTGTTAGGTTCTCTGTCAGTTATTGTTAAGCCAAGGACATGATCTCCTCCCAGCTTGGTTAGTTATCTGTGCCCGTGGAACTCTCAGAAAAGGTAGTTCTTACATTACCCACTGTCAGGAAGAAATGGTGCCAGTATCCATGAACTTATCAGTTAAAATGCAACATTGGTTCTCTCCCTGATAGGCTGCAGTGTTGACCTTGGGGGCTTTGCTGGTCTTTTTGATTTAAAAGCAGCTGGTTTCAAAGATCCTCTTCTGGCCTCAGGAACAGATGGTGTTGGAACTAAACTGAAGGTAACCAGACACTTGTGATTAAAGGCTTTGTGAAAGAGAAAGGGGAATTTGTCTTTCAAATGAATTTTATGTTTATCAAATTTTCTTCTTAACACGCGTGAGCTAAAAAAAAGATCCATGGCGACTAACCATTTATTGCAACCATGTAGCTCCAGTCCACATCTTAAATACCAGTGTTCCAGTTCCCTTGGTTGAAAAGATGTTGTAGAGAAGAAGAAGGGCACAGCATAGCTGGAAAGAATGTAGTGCTTTCTGTGCTGAGGTTCTGAGCAGCTAGCCAAAAGGCAGTGGCATTTGCAAAGCTCTGTTTGAACCAACAAGATAAAAGGTAGAGCTTATTCTGTGTGGTGTTTATATTCTACAGATTGCCCAGCTGTGTAATAAGCACGATTCCATAGGTCAAGACTTGGTTGCGATGTGTGTGAACGACATCCTCGCCCAAGGTGCAGAGCCCCTCTTCTTCCTGGATTACTTTTCCTGTGGAAAACTTGACCTCAGTACAACTGAAGCTGTTGTTGCTGGGATCGCTGCAGCCTGTCGACTGGCGGGCTGTGCTCTCCTAGGTATGACTCACGGGTCCTCTGTACTGCCTGTCAGTCAGGTAGAGCGTAAATGGGACTTGTTGTGGCTAGACTTTCCATCACCAAACAGGAAAAGGAAATGCACATAAAACTGCCTGCATTAATCTTACCACCCCCGCCCCAATCCCCCGCCACTCCTATCTCAACTGCCCAACCACCAGGCAGGCTTCTCTTCCTCTTTTGTTCAACTTCTTGTTTCTCAAGAGCCTCCCTGGCCAGGCTTAGGCCTGTTCCCTCCTGACTGGGCCTGCAGCGGGAGATGAGCTCCAGGGATTACATATGTTAAACTATAGTTTCCTCAGAAGTGATATAAACAAAAAAATGTAACCATGTGGTGGTGGCACTTCTTTGAATCCCAAAACTCGAGAGACAGAGGCAGGAGGATCTCTGAGTTCAAGACCAACCTGGTCTACAGAGCTGGCTTCAAGACAGCCAAAGTTACACAAAGAAACCCTCTCGGATTCAGGGATGGGCATGGAATGTAGCCTCGATTTTAAAGACATTCTGCTTAACCAGATATGAGGGAGTTTTGTTTTCTTTTTTTAGCAAAATAATTTTTAGGTAGAACAAGGAATGGAACTATTTCTGTAACATTTCAGGGTTGGTATAGTGCTGTGTGCCTGTAATCCTAGCACTTGGAGGCTGAAGTAGAAAGATTGCTGAGAGTTTGAGCTAGCCTCGGCTACATAGCAAGACTCTTGTCTCAATAGGGAAACCACACTTCTCTATCTATAGACAAATCAGATCTTAAGGCCGAACATTGCCTTTCAACTGTTTTTACAGTACAGTTTCTACACGGGAGTCTGCCATTCCCCCTTCTACCTGTGTGTGCTGTGAATCTAGCACTGTACTGCAGGTGAAGGCATTACATAGAAGATGGGGTGATCACAAAACCAACTAAGGGCTGGAGACCTGGCTCAGCAGTTAAGACCACTTGCTGCTCTTCCAGTGAACCTGGGTTTGGGGTCCTAGAGCCCACATATCAGCTCGCAGTAACTCCAGTTCCAGGGGATCCAGTGCCCTCTTCTGTCCTCTATGGGTACCAGGCATATACAAAACACTCATACACATAAAATGTTAAATCTCTTTTTTAAAAAACTCAAACATAGTCGCCGGGCAGTGGTGGTACATGCCTTTAGTCCCAGCACTTGGGAGGCAGAGGCAAGTGGATTTCTGAGTTCGAGGCCAGCCTGGTCTACAAAGTGAGTTCCAGGACAGCCAGGGCTACACAGAGAAACCCTGTCTCAAAAAACCAAAAAAAAAAAAAAAAATCAAACATGGAAGTACTTCTGAAATCAAATCACAGTGTTGTGGAATCCAATTGAGCATTCACAAGTCAGGGTGGAGATGTCTGATGGCCATGTAATGCCCACAGCATCACCTCCTCACAGTTTGTAGACATTAGCTCTCTCCCTAAAAACCAGGCAGCAAATACAGTGCGAACTCTAGCTGCAGTGATTGTTTGTGTTTAATGTGGCTTCTGTCACTGCTTAAGCACATTCCTAAGGAAGCGGGGTGTCTTTGTCCGTGTCTTTCCAGGTGGGGAGACAGCAGAGATGCCCGACATGTACCCTCCTGGAGAGTATGATCTTGCTGGGTTTGCTGTTGGTGCTATGGAGAGACACCAGAAGCTCCCTCAGCTAGAAAGGATCGCAGAAGGGGATGCTGTTGTTGGAGTAGCTTCGTCTGGTCTTCACAGCAATGGGTTTAGCCTTGTGAGGAAAATCGTGGAGAGGTCTTCGCTCCAGTACTCTTCCCCAGCACCTGGTGGTTGTGGAGATCAGACTTTGGGTAAACAGACTCTTGCTGTCCTACTTGGAGATGTCTGAGCAAGCACTTGGCGGGTAAACCGGATTACCTAGAACTTGGATGGAAGGGTAGCAGTGACCTTGGCTTTCCTGCCTGGGCGACATGACAGAACCGATGTGTTCTGCATGTAAGGTCCTATCATTGTTCACTTCAGAATGGCTTCTACGTTTAGGTTTCCAGTGTGTGGCCTAAGTTTTGGGTTATCTCTCCAATCCACAGGGGACTTACTTCTAACTCCAACCAAGATCTACAGCCACTCACTGCTGCCTGTCATACGGTCAGGACGGGTCAAAGCTTTCGCTCACATTACTGGAGGAGGATTGCTGGAAAACATCCCCAGAGTCCTCCCTCAGAAGTTTGGAGTAGATTTAGGTAAGCTCATTTGCTGGAAAACATCCCCAGAGTCCTCCCTCAGGAGTTTGGAGTAGATTTAGGTAAGCTCATTTGCTGGAAAACATCCCAGTCCTCCCTCAGGAGTCTGAAGTGGATTTAGATAAGCTCACCAAAGGAAATTTCTGATTTACAAAAAAAAAGTTGAAGGGAAAAACCATGTACTGTGGGTGCGAGTGCATGCATGTACTGTGAGTGTGTGTGTGTGTGTGTGTGTGTGTGTGTGTGTGTGTGTGTGTGTGTAAAGTTATATGTGGTGAGTGTGAGTCTGTGCAGTCATACATGGGAGATCATTGGTTGGTTGGTTGGTTGGTTTTGTTTTTGAGTTAGGGTTTCTCTTTGTAGCCCTGGCTGTCCTGGAACACACACACACACACACACACACACACACACACACACACACACACAC